GGAAGTCCTATTCACTGTCTTCTCGCGGTATTACTATTGTTTACGAAATTGAGAGGGTGGAAAGCGAATGTCCGACACTCTAACCAGCTTGGTAGACATGAAGAGTTCACCTAGGGGAGTTGGAAAACTGTCATTTCAAATTAATGGTGTACATAAGCTCCAGGAACCTGAAGGGACAAATGGCGTATGAACCAATCGTTGGTCACCTTTTACCATATAACAACATCTCCTTACGTTGCCCCACTGTCTTATGGATTAGACCTTTAGGTCTAAGGCTTCGGATGTGTCCCCCTAAAGAAACCATCTGCTTCGGTTCGGGCGCCCGGGCAGTATCCCAGCCCTCACATGAATCGAATGGTTTGTGTGGCGCATAACTAGTTGGTGCCTCCTTGTACCAATGTTTATGTGTTTAAAAATAAATAAATAAAAAACAAACGACTACCCAAGTCTGTAACACGATAATAAATGATAGAGTCGATATGTTACAGAGATTATTTTATACCAGAAATTAACAAAGTTGACACAATAACAGACTGTAAAGATGGTCACGAAGATTGCGAGGTAAAAGCCGGTTGTTTGTAGTAGACGCTTAATCCCCTTCATTTGCTTGTAACATCAAACACATACCAGACGATTTAATTGGATATGTCTTTCATGCTTTTTCTTCAACACTCCACTCCCTAATCTCAGGTCGTGCACCCCACAAACGCCTCATCAACTCAGGAGTGATGGGATGGAAAAACTCTTTTCCATGCACTATTACTCGAATTTGTCAAGACGTTCGATACTATGAGATCGTTTACTTTTGTCTAACAATAATGTTTGCCAAAATCTATTAATTGACAGTATCTCAGGCAAAAGTTTTCTTCTCTTATACTTCTGGGGGGTATCATAAGAAAAATTCACAAGTGGAACGGATCAAATGAAATGAAGAGCACTTTATCACATGCAATCGCCTTTTCTTTCAAAAAGAAAACAACAACTTTGGTGGAGTTTTGTTGTCTGAGCTTTCATCACGACCAAACCATCCAGCTCAGAGAACAAAACTCCACCAAAATCATCCACCTGAGCTACAAATCTTCTCCACCATCTCGAAAACAACAACTATGCGATCTTAAATTCACAGACATACACACGTCATTATTGAATAAGTAGTCAAACAAAAGAATCAAACAATTACTTCTGAATAGATGTATTATTCGAAATAGAACAAAAATCAAATGTATATACATAGTCAATTTATCACAATATTTCATTGAAATATAGAATCAAGTAAGAGAAAACCTCTTGTATAGATCCAAATCTGTAAATTTCCATGCGGAACAGATTCCAGCTATTATAAGTATCATATAACCCATGTAAAATGCCTATAATAGTAAGAAAAATAAGATTGATAATAAAATGAAAACATGTTTATATATATGTATATATGAATATAGAGATGAAGATTATATCATTCGTCGAAATCCCTTGTTTCAGATCAGTTGCCACTACCTTTTTTCATTACGCCTGTTAATCCTCGTGGAGCATAGGCCGCCAAGTAGAATTCTCCAATCTCCTCCTCAGTTGTTGCCAAGTGTTATTCATTGTTTTAATATCTGTATCCTACTCCAAGCCCAATGTCTTCTTCGGTCTGCATTTTTCATGTTGCCATCCGGATGTTAAGTTAGGGCTTGCACTGTGATGAAGTTTCGTGATTTCCAAAATGTATTTCCTACCCGCCTTCAGCGTTTCTTCCTAATTTTCACTTCAGCTGGGAGCCGATTCGTTCTCCCCCACAGTAGGTTGTTGCAAGTGATAACCAGCTAACGAACATTGAGTATCTTGCGTAGACAACAATTTATAAATACTTGACGTTAATAGTGAAGATTCTGATTTTGATATTGGATAAAATTTGTTTTGACTTCCATATGCTCTTCAACAGTAAGAATGCTGTCTTTGATTTGCCAATACTTGCCTTCACGTCTGTATCACATTCTGATTGTTCATCGATGATACTGACCAGGCACGTGAAAGTTTCCACATCTTCCAGAGTTTCTCCATCAAGGGTGATTGGGTTGGTGTTCTCCGTGTTGTATTTAAGGAACTTGGTTTTTCTGGTGCGTATGTTGAGGCCTACTGTTGTAGAGACTGTTGTTACATTCGCTGTCTTTACCTGTGTATAGAATAGAAGAGCTAGATCATTTGCGAAGTCCGAATCGTCTAGCTGCATGCAAGCTATCCATTGCAATCCGTACTTCCCCTCACTTGTGGAGGTCTTCATAATCCAGTCGACCAGTAGAAGAACGAAGAATCGAAGTAAGCGGCTTTGTCTGACACTAGACCCCACGTGGAATGCATCTGTCAGCTGTCCTCCATGCACCACTTTGCAGTGTAGTTCATCGTAAGAAGTCAGTGTGATGTTGGCGATCTTCTTAGGTACACCATAGTATCGAAAGAGGTTCATATATCCACACTGTCACACGCCTACTCATAATCAAGGAGGTTGATATACAGTGATGAGTTCCACTCAATAAATGGCTCAACAATGATCCGTAGTATCGCGATCTGTAAGCCAGGATTAACAGTGGTCAATTTTATAAGCCACGCTTAATAGCCATATACTGATGAAGAAAAAACCGTTCCTAAGTGCATTCACCCACTGATTGACAGACGGACATTCCATCTGCACTACAGGTAGCACAATTTAGAAAGGGTCAATCAAGTTTTCTGTACATATGTTAGTGTTTTGTTAAGTACGGACCCAATAGAGAAGTTGAGGCTTCAACTACAAGTGAGGTAGTCAACACACTGGCAAAGACTAGATCTAAAACAACATTTTGTATATAAAGGATGAGAATCTCATCCAAAACATTCTTGTATGATTTCTTTAGGCATAAGGTATATATAATAAAGTGAACCCCGTTTCCTATGCGCTTTTTGTGAGTAATACATAGATTTCTGTAGTGACAAATGAATGTGAATCTTTGTGAAATGGTGAACAATATGCAGTTGGTTATAGTCTTTCCTCTTTCAAGACCGAAAGTCCTGCATCCGATCCCCGCGTGTGGGATTTCGGACACATACCACAGCCACTGAGGAATCCCACACCAGAATAGAACGATCATTCAGTGCATGTAGGTTTTAAATAGTGGTCTACTTAGATCGGCTCATGAATTCATTCGCATCTATCAGTGTACATTGTATGAGTTACAAATACTATGCCCCCAAATGTCCTAGTACAGCCGAGAGCCGAGAGAGCTCTCCCTCTCCAAATGCTCTCACATGACCATGCGTATACAGCCACTGTCAGGGAAGTCCTACTGACTGTCTTATCGCTACAGATGGATTTTTTACGAAATCGAGAGGACGAAAAGCGAATGTCCGATGCTTTTAACCGGGTTAGTGGATACAGAGAGTTCACCTAAGGGAGTTGCAAACTCTCATTTCAAATCAATAGTGTAAATCGGCTCCTGAATCCTCAGAGAACAAATGTTGTATGAACAAATTGTTGGTCACCAGCTACCATGGGACTGCATCTCCTTACGTTGCTCTACTACCTTGTGAATTATACCTCTAGGTCAAAGTCTCGAGGAGTGACCCACATGTTCCGGTTTGGACACCCAGGCAATATTTCAACCCTCACACATATCATCAAGTGACTTGTGTATTGCATAGGTATTTGATGCCTTCTTGCACTCATATTATGAAATAAAAAATATACATATATTATATGATATTCAAAACAAATTTACTAACCAATGTTTTATCACTTCGTAATGAATTAATCAACGTATATATACTAAATTGATTTGGCTTTACCATAGTACTATAATTTATTTTAGATAATTGAATTGAATTTTGTATTAATAAAGGTAGAGATGGTAAGTTGAAATTATTATCTGGGAAAACAATAGAATCCAATGGTCCAGAATCAATAATGATACCACGCATAAAAAATTTATCACATTCTATAATACGTACAAGTACTATACGACCATAAACATCCGGATCTTTTGGTAATAAAATCTATGAAAATAAGCATAGAAATTGGAATAATAATTAAACAAATGTAAGTATTATTAGGAAAGTTATAATTTTGGAATAGTTATTTCACACCACCCCACTCCAAAGAAAAACCCAACCGTTGTTGCTACCTTGACGTGGTGGTTGGGCTTGCCTATCATGATGAAGCAACCGAGCTATACTGGCTGGAACAACCGTTCCTCAAGGTCTTACCATGTCAGACAGGTCGGTTGAAGAGCAGTAAGACTTAAAGCAACAAACCCAAGGTCCGAAGGCGAAGTCGTACTGCTGACTGTACAGAGGTGTGACAGCAGTAAGGTGTTTCCTTCAGACAACCAGCATGACAGCGATGCTGCCTTCCCACAAGGAGGGTGGGGTTAGAAAAGTTCGACCCTAAAAATGTACAATTAGCCTTATCCCAAGGATATCCGTCTCCGGCGGTAAGGTCTCAACAAGTACGGAGCTAACACGAAAATTACTCACACAAAGATGTTGTGTGACTGACCTCAAGCAGTTATCCTTGGGCACTGCGGTCACGCTCCCAGGTCACTAGGACCACCTCTAATCCTATTTCCTTTACAGGTACCTCCCTCCTCCTCCTCCTCCAAGGAAAAAAGAAACAAAATATATGATGTATGGACGAGAATGATAATGATTAGTTGTCTTTCTAGTCAGACAATGTAGATAGTCTGTGCTTGGGACGTTAGATCCCCAGAACTCACTTGAGAAAGGACCTAATTTTGTTATTTTATTTAGAAAATTTGAATGTCTTTATTTCCGCGCCAAAGGCGCTCTTGTCACCTTTATGTCGTATTTCCCACTGGAAAATGTCTTAAATGCTATTGGTCCGTTGCGTCTTTTGGTATGCTATTTGGTAACTATCCCTAAGGACAGTTTTGCACTGTATATATACATTTTGAATTGTGTTTGTTGTTATCACTCGTTTCTGGCTGTTTTGTAGAATATACTTCCCATTCCAAGCTCTGACTTCTCCCTCTAGTTAGCGGGGCTGGGACGCATCAATAGCTAGCTTACTGGTCTTTGGTCACCGAGTCTTGTTCTCGTTCGCAAATGAAGTGAACTCGTGATAGCTTCAAACATAGCAGTCTGACAGGTGTCAGATGAGTTATATATTACCCCTATCCTTATTATTATTGATTGATTGGTTATTGATTACTGTTGGATTGTATCGGGTTTTTGGTGTGGAAATATATTGACATTCTAGTCAGGCTGATCACGTGTTCTTGATCATCTGAGTAGTATTGAAGTCCTGTAGAATTGACACACTGGAAGGGAATCTAGTGTAGATATTTAAGGCAAATTAAACGTGGGATATTATAGTAATTTTAATGGTTGAGATCATGAGTCAATTGAAGCTAGACCACCATGGAAAACCTGGAAGTACTGAACGGCCATTTCGTCCTATTGTGGGACTCCCCAACAGTGCGCATCCACGATCCTGCACGCGAACGTGGGTTCCAATCTGTGTCGGGTGTGAGACAGTTATCCACCTCAGACAATAGATGAAGGGTTGAGCACAATTCAGTACCGCTGAATGGAAAGAGAACTTTAAGCCCATTCTTTGTCCTCACGAGTCAGACGAATATAGGCAATGAACTCAAACAGACACTCTGGATTCGAGTCCCGCGCACGGGATCGTGGATGCGCATTGCTGATGAGGTTGATACTAGGACGAAACGGTCGTCTTGTTCTTTCAGGTTTTTAATGGTGGTCTATGTTAGAATGACTCGTGAATTCAACTTTGAAAATATTCAATATTAATTTTAAAAAAATAGTTTTAAAATGAGTTAACCTGATACATCAAGAACCATGAAAACCTAATGGAACATATTGATCTTTCTTGATGATAAAATGACAAAAAAACATTCATACAAAAGGCAACAAGCAATATAGGTATGTTGATAATTTGCATTAATAATTTACACATACTTGTTCATAAGCTTTTGTATGACCAACCCAAAATTTACCATCAAAACTCGGTTCAGTAATAAGAACACGAACTTCACAACCGACACGACCATCATAAGTTCGATAACTTCTGAAAAGATCGTGTAATCTACGTGTACGAGATTTTACTTCGGAAGAACTAGCTTTTCTATAAATAAAGAAAAACAATAATAGAATATCGTAAAACCAATAATAAACTGTTTGACTATCTTCACTAACATTACAATCAACTATGTTCTTACTTAAAAATAAACATATTATATATTCTGTATTAATTTTGGTCACTGTATGGACGAGGTGTCACAGAAGTTGAGCGTCATGTATACAGAAGATATTGGAAGCAAAAATACTTTTTTCAGTATAGGATTTTGTGAAAGTTGTAGAATTGATCATAGTTCAAATTACGAAACAAACTAAGCAAAATAACTAATGAAAACCATGAAGTACTGGTCAGTCAGTCAGTCAGTAACAACGTAGAACTTCATACGTACGTACATCAGTTCGAGTTGCCACACCACATTAGCACAGAGATGCAGTGGTCGATTCAAATCCCGTAGTGCTAGATGTAGTAAGATTATAAGCTGTAATCAGAAAATTAGGGTTTGAAGATGTTATTCAAGGAGTATAATACAGTGAAATAAATTAGGAAAGAGAAAAAAGAAAGGGACATGAAGGATTCAGAAGATTAGAATTTGGCAGAACACAAAGAGTGGATTAGCCTGCGCCATTGCAAACGATTTTCAGCCATGTCATTCAGGGTCTCTAACCATCGGTTGCTATCATCTCGCGGTCCCCAACCAGGTAGTCTACACCTACCAACATGACTCAGTCCACTTGTCAGTGACTTCATGGACTTGTGCCATGTTTTGGTTTGGCCGCCCCTAGCTTTCTTCCAACCTACTCCTATACCACTGAACATCGCACGTCGAGGCAGTCGGTCGTTGGGCATACGTAACACGTGTCCCAGTCATCTCAACTGATGAAGTTTCACTACTTCATCAATTGATTTGCCATCCTTACCTAGTACCCGTTTCCTAAGAACTGCATTACTTACTCGATGGTCCCAGGATATACGAGCAATATTTTGAAGACACCTACGATCAAATACTAGTAACCTACGAATATCTTCTACTCTTACCGGCCATGTTTCACTGCCATAAAGTAGGACGGAACAAACTGCTGCGCAGTAAACACGCCTTTTGATTGATAGACGGATATCTCGCCTACGCCACAAATGACGCAAGTTGGTAAAAGCTAGTCGAGCCTTCGGTATTCGTGCTGAGATTTCGTCACACACCAGACCACAAGGGCTAATGAGACGTCCGAGATAAGTGAAGTGGTCGACACGCTCAATTACTTCACTCCCTATCATTAGTTCGGGTGTCAATGTAACCCAATCCTGAAGCAACATTTTGCATTTCGAGGGGGAGAATCGCATCCCGAACATGCTTGCATTGTTGCTTAGAGTGGTCAGAAGACTCTGCATTTTGTCAGCGTCTTCGCCAAATAAAACTATGTCATCAGCATATTCTAAGTCAACAAGTAAACCTCCTGTTAGGAGTTCAACCCCTGTAAATTTAGATGAGGAGAGTGGTATCTCTAAAAGTACGTCAATGACAAAGTTGAACAAGAATGGAGAGAGTGGACAGCCCTGACGAACACCACTTGAGGTAATCAATTGTGATGACAGTTCGCCATAAGCTCTCACTCTACCAGTTGTGTTCGAGTAGAGAGCCTTTACAAGGTTAATGTACTTCTTTGGTACTCCTTTCAGTGACAAACACTGACATAGAACCTCACGATCAACAGAGTCGAATGCCGCCTTAAGGTCGAGAAATACTACCATTGTGGGGCGTCTGAATGTGTGTCTGTGTTCTAGAACCTGACGTAGTGTAAATATCTGATCTATGCAACCACGTCCAGGTCGAAAACCGGCCTGGTTTTCTCTAATCTGCTCTTCACGAGCTTTGATTAGGCATCGAAGTATTATTGAAGCTAATATTTTAGACACTATATTAGTCAAACTGATTCCTCTGTGATTGTCACAAGAGAACTTTTATCCTTTCTTATAGACTGGCACAATCAGTGATTGAGACCAGTCAGATGGGATTACGTCCAGTTCCCAAATTCTACCTAAGACCTCAGTTAATCTCACTGCTAATACTGGACCACCATCCTTAAAAATCTCAGGACTAAACCTGTCAGAGCCTGCTGCTCTCCCTCGCTTCAGATTTCCTATGGCTTTTTCAACTTCGTAAAGAGACGGAGGACCTACATTAACTTGCCATCCAGGTTAACTGGAGAACGTGGGAAACCGAAGTGTGGCTGAAGGCCAGTTGAACTGATCCCTAAAGTGTTCTGCACATCGATCCAATCTCCGGATTGAGAATGTATAATATGTCCATCTTTCTCTGAGATTTTCGCTAACAGTCGGTTTCCCTAACAAGTCTGAACAATTGTCTGCTATTACCTATTGCCGCTGCCTTTTCCATCTCTCTTGCTTTCGCTACCCACCAGTGTTCACGATCATTGCGTAGACTTCTTGTCAGCTTGCGCTTAAGCTGACTCCGCTCTTCATTATGTTCAGAGCCAGGTGGAATGAGTTTCCGAGCATCTATCAGTGAGATAGATGCTGCTGAGATCCAGTGTGGCTCCCTAACCTTACGGGTTACCTTACTGGCAGATATCACTGCTGTTTACACAGCTTTTCGGATATCATTCCATGCTGCCTCAGGGTGGGCATCACATACATGGTTGCCTAACTGTTTTCCTAGTTGTTCCTCAAATATACTCTTAGCTTGACTATCATTAAGTAGGCCCCTAAGAGGCTTCTTTGCAGCGTCTTTCCTACATCCAGTAAGACGCAAGAAAATACGCGCACGCACTAGAGCATGATCTGAATCTAGGCATGTGCTCCAGAATGAGCGACAGTCTTCTATCGAGCCCCTCCATCGGTTGCTGATAGCGATGTGATCTATTTGGGTTCACCGTTGGGACGAATTAGGGGGTCGCCATGTTAAAAGATGTTTTTCCTTATGCTTAAAGTTAGTATTTGCAAGGAACAGGCGGTTATCTGATCATAGCTGCAACAGACGGTCGCCATTATCTGTTCTTTGAGCCACGACACCATATGATCCACCTAGGTGTCTTTCCCTATCGCTTAGTTTACCTACTTGAACATTAAAGTCACTGGCCACTATTACTACATCCGAGCGCCTAGCTTTTCGGAGAAGGTCGGAGAGCTTTCTGTAAAACTCATCTTTTACATCATCTGAGCTGCAGTCAGTGGGAGAATAGGCAGAGACCGCGAAGGGTGTCCTATATTTCCGAGTCCTTATTGTTCCGTTTAGTCGGACAGCGCACAAACGACTGTCTTCTGGGATCCAGTCTAAGAGATCTAGTTCTTCCCTAGGACTCAATGCTATACCTACGCCGACGAGTCCACGAGAAGCAGCATCTGGGCTTCCAGATACAGGAAGTGTGAATCGAGTTGTTTCTTTGTTTAGACATGGTGATGTCAAATGAATGGCACTACTTGGATCCTGTATGCGCGTTTCGGAGACGCAGCACACATCGATGGCACGGGATTCTAAAGTTCTAGCTAAGAAAGCCTGCTGTCCTATTTGACACAGTGTTCGAACGTTAAAAGCTCCTACGTGTAGTTTAGAGCGTGGTTTCAGGAGACCAGGAATAGCGTTCCGCGCGCACTGGACAATTGTTCCATCCTGGTATAGGACTCTTGAACAGTGCGAACCAACGACTCGGACACAGGTAACCAAACTATGAAAATTCTACAATCGCGAGACTTTAACGCAATGTCGTCAACTGACTGAAGTTATATGTGTAAACCATTAGATACCGGCTCAGTGGTTTAGAGGTTGAGCACTCGAGCATAAGACTGAATGCCCTGAGTCCGATTCCCGGTTGAAAGGTTGTAGATGGGCATATTATGACGAAACAGTTCTACAGTACTCCTAGGCACTTAATGGTATCAAGAGTGAGCTCAATCTGCGGAATAGCACCAGCATTCGTATGGTATTTTAAGTGGTATGTACACAATTCTCTTTGGTAATCTAGTAATGATCGCGGAATAAAGTCGATATTCCGATTGTTGGGGTAACATTCACAACTTAATGATTATCATTCTAACAAAATCACCTTTTGTTGTTTTTACCACTGTTATTTTTTATTCTTTTTTATGATGCACAGAAAATCGGTAGTGTTAGCTGACTAGATTTATTGTTTTTCGTAATTTTTGGAAGGTATGTCCCAACCGAGTTAGGTCAATCAAATGGATCGTGTTTTCCAGATCAATAAAACTGTTCCAATGAAAATGATATAGTTGGGAATAATCTCTCAATAAACAATTATTTTCTGTAGGCTAATATTGAATAAATAAAAGGGGGATGAAAATGTCATTATCCTACTTCGTTATTTCATAGCGGTAATTCAAATGAAAAATAGATAGGAATGTGCAATATACCTTAGTACCCCCAAATGTCCTGGTACGGTCAAGAGTGGGGAGAGCCAGCTCCCTCTAGAAATACTCCAACATGGCCACACGTATACATTCACAGCCACGGAAGTCCTACTCAATGCCTTTTCGCGACGATGGGGTGTTGTTAACAAAATTGAGAGGACGAAAAGTGAATGTACGGCGCTCTAACCGGGTTGGTGGATATGCAACATCTACCTAGAGGAGTTAGAAACCCTCGTTCCAAACCAATGGTGTATATGGACTCCAGGATTCTGAGGGAACGAAAGGCGTATGAAACGATTGTCGGTCACCGGCTACCATGGGAGTGCATCTCCTGACGTTGTTTCATTGCCTTGTGGAGTAGACGTTTAGGTCGAAGGCTCCGAGTTTAGCCCCCTAAGAAACCACCTGCTTCGGTCTGGGCACTCGTGCAGTATTACAGCCCACACACAAACAATGTGACTTGTGTGGAGCATATGTATTTGGTGCTCTTTTGTATCAATATTTATGTGTTCAAATAAATAATAAACAAAGCCTCACCAGAAAAAACGCTGTTTAGCTAAGTGATCAGAGGTATAAAAACGTCGACAAATTACATAGATAATTCGAAGGAAACTTAGAACTGATCAAAGCTGAAATCTCAACGAGAGTAGTAACGAGCTATTCAATCCTGATTGAAATTCAATGACGTGATATTCAGTTGAATGATAGATATACATAATTCACATTGAACTCAATCAACACCGTAGATTAGATGGCATGATAAGTTAGAGAATATATATATATTCTTTAAATAATAAACTGTTATACAATTCACTGAACAGCATACTTTGAATTAAACCCGCTCCGTGAAGATTACATATACTGTGTTGTATGCTACTTATGCCTGTCGACATAAATAGTATGTAACACTAATCAAAAGTTGAATAACTGGCAGCAGAAGGCTAAGATGTACTTAAAGAGGATAGAAAGAGAAATAAAAATGAATCGTGAACTGGAAGAATCATATAGAATGTGAAGGACAAATGATAGAAGTTTGCAAACGAAGTATTCAGTACATGACTGTCATATTTTACAATGCTACTGAAATGTAAATTCCTGATGCAAAATTTAGTCATTACTAAATAAGTGAAATTTGAGTGTGACAATTTACAGGATCACACATTTTCTGGTTATGAACTGGAAGCCTAAAAATCTCAAAGGAACACTTAGAAATATTTCCAAGCAATAATATTTATGATTGAAATCATGGACCAATTGATGTTGGACCATCATTGAAAGCACTGGAAGACCGTTTTGTTCTATTGTGGGACTCATCAACAGTGCGCATTCACGATCCCGCTCGCGGGATTCGAACCCAGGACCTTCGGTCTCGCGCGCGAAACGGCCGTGCTTCTGTTATATCTTGAAAGTTGATTTCTTGATATACCGCGTATAACAGAGCACTAGAACACCAAAACCCTTCGAAGTCGCAATAATAAGACAGAAGACTGATGAAAGGAATATTATTCCAAACAGTGTCAATCATAGTACAAAATTATCAGGTATTTATAGTTTTTAGTGAGAACAAAATCATCATTACAGTCCTCCAATCCGCATACAGGGGGCTATTAGCAGTATCCAATCGGGAAGCTACACGTAGAAAATCTAGAATATTCTTCCGAAAGATGATTGGATGAAACGTTTTCGGCTCCTTCTGAGCCTTTTACAGCTTCCTCGAGTTCACTCGTGGTCCGTCGTCACAGCTTTCAGGTTTTGAATGGTGTTCCATCGTCATACGGTTCATGATCTCAATTAAAAACATAATAATCTCCACAACCCCATGCTGATAATAATAATATTTATGAAATACAAACAATTAACAGAAAAAAATTCCCAATTTTAGAAAATACCTTGGCATATTAGCAGCAGGTGTACCGGGACGTGGAAAGAACTGATTTATATGTAATACAGGAAATTGATACTTTTCAATTAATTCAACAGTTTCATTAAAATCGTTATCCGTTTCAGTTGGGAAACCGCATATCACATCAGTGGCAATTGTAAGTGCCCCAGATCCATTTACAGTATCATGTGCTGCACCAGGAGGTCTAATAATAAAAAAGATTAAAGATAACGGAGAAAATCAATGGACAAATAATTAGTAGAGTGTAAGTAAATCGTTTGTTTTTTTAAATCGGTTCATGATCTTAATTATGACTTGACAATCTCCACAACCCTATACTTACCGTGTTAACTCTCGTGGAGGAGCATAGGCCGCTCACTAGCATTCTCTATCGACAACCTTATACTGATAACTATAAATAAGATGAGTTATTAGGGCTTACAACCTCGTTAAAGTGTACATATGAACAATGTTTAAAACAACTTGGCAAAAGCTGAATATAAAATGTTACATTGATCAGTGTTTTCGATGTAGTCCATCCATATATGAAATACGTTGAATTTTATTAGCTTAATACGATCAACCATCAATTGATTCAAACCAGTAAACGTGTTACATCGTCCAAATCAACAAAAAAGGAAATCCGAAACCAGTAAAACAAAAAGCGTACTATAAATGTGTTATATCTAGAGCTCATATTCTTGATATACTGCGTATAACTTGAGCACTTGAACGCTAGAACCCTTCCAATTCGCATATAAGAAGACAGAATACAAGTGAAAGAAATGCTATTCCAGACAGTGTCAAATTATAATACAAAACAGTCAGGTATTTATAGTTTTTTTTATAGTAAAAACGAAATCATCATTGTAGCTATCCAATCCGCACATAGGGGGTTATTAGCACTGTCCAATCGGGAAGCTACCGTCCTCACAAAATGCAACAAAATTTCAACCTGATAATCCAATTTGGAATGATTTGAATTATCTCATTGTTGATTGTTATTTTTTTCTCTTTCTCATCAATATTACGATGAGACTAGTCACGTTATATCCGAACCAGGATGGACTACCCAGAATAAAGAACACGATTAACATTAGATAATACATTGTTCAATACAATTACAAGTAATACGCCATTTGTTCTCAAAGGATACTGGAGCCCATGTGCACCATTGGTTTGGAAACACGGTTTAACAACTCGCCTAAATGGACTTTTCGTGTCCACCAACCCTGTTAAAGTGCCGAACATTCGCTTTTCGTCCTCTCGATTTCGTAAACAATAGTGATGCCACGAGAAGGCAGTGAGTAGAACTTCCCTAGCAGTGGTTGTATGCACAATGCTATGTGAGAGCATTTCGAGAGAGAGAGTTAACTTTCCCCACTCACGGCCATACCAGGGGATTTGGGGGTCTATAAACGGACAAATCTTAATACATATCGATTAAAATCGGTACCATTAAACGAAGAGACTAGTAAAAAGATGACGACTAACAAGGGACTATAAAAACTTTATTTGCTTGCTTTTTTAAATAATATGATCAATAAGCAAATGATAACTTACAAATTTGGCGGTTTCACATTTTGCATAAGATAATCTACAACATTTGAGAATTCTTCTATAGTATACTCCCTTTTCATTGCGTCTAATACAGCATCTGAACCTGTGACAAAACAACAACAAAAATACAAGAAAATTGATTTCCTTCAAGCTATAACTTCCACCACCAATGTAAAGTAGTCTTGGACATGTTCACCCTAATTAATCCAGACAATATATAATTCTAACTCTCAAAATACGAAGATAAATGTGGTAAAATGCTAAAGACCTTAATTAATTATTAATGATTTGAACACATAAGTATTGGTACAAGGGGGCACCAGATACATATGCGCCACACAAATCTAATTTGATTCGTATGAAGGCTCTGATACTGCCCGGATGCCCAAACCGAAGCAGGACCTCAGACGACTTATCGATATCAATAAGGAAATAATGCTTAATTACAAAAAAATTAGTAATAAAAAGAAGTAAACTTACAGTGAAACGTAAACACATTGAACTATTCAAGTTAGCACTGTGAGTTTTAGTCAAAAAAACCTATAGGATTTTTGTCACTAATTGACATCAACTATAATGCAATGATGCTTGCCCATCATTTGATTTACTTAGCGGTTGATATTTTTTAGTCAGAATTTAAAGTGAGAGAAAACTGTGTAGCTACAAAAACAACTTTGATTACGCAGCGAATTCGATGAAAAATTTCAACACAACATCGGTCCTGGCATGGCCGACAGTGGGGAGAGTTCGCTCTCCCTCTCGAAATGCTCTCACATGGCCACGCGTACACAGCCTCTGCCAGGGAAGTACTACTCACTGCCTTCTCGTAGCGGGGGTGTTGTTTACGAAAATGAGAGAACGAAAAGCGAATGTCCGGCGCTTTAACCGGATCCCAAATCAATGGTGCACATGGGCTCCAGTATCCTGAAGGAACAAATGGCGTATGAACCAATTGTTGGTCACCGGCTACCATGGGACTGCATCTCCTCACGATGCTCCACTGCCTTGTGGATCAGACCTTTAGGTCAAAGGCTCGGGGTGTGGCCCCCTAAGAAAACCACCTGTTTCGGTTTCGGCACCCGGGCAGTATCACAGCCGTCACACATATCGAATGACATTTGTGTGGCGCATATGTATTTGGTGCCTCCTTGTACCAATATCTATGTGTTAAAATAAATAATAAATAATAAATCGTGTCATATTCATTGTTTGCCTGCTTAGATATTTTTTTATCCATTTCAAATACTTTAGGAACCAAACAGTGTCAATTTTCGCCTAGTTAGTAACAACATACAGGCTATCGTTCACTGGACTTTCAATTTTTAACGAATATACCATGAGGTTCTGTCTTAATTCTGATTGGCTCATTCAACACCGTCAGTATAGTATACCTTGACTATATATACAGAGCAAATAGCTAAGAAGTATAGATGTAGAAACTATTATCAGAGCTATTCTTATTACTGACATGTCACATTTACATAATGTTCTCCGGGAAAGTTTTCAGAACTAAAGGATTATATAACAAGAAGAAAATGCCACATCTAGCAGACTACTACCTGCCAAGGATGCCACTATTTAACTTTGATAGAAGAAAACTGAAATACCCTATAAATTAATATAAAGATTCCATGATAAGCAGAACATGAAAATAAATTTTTAAAAAACTTACCAGATTGAACAGGAATATGAAGAAATGAATACACTCTAGGATGTGACAATACTTCCGCGATTTCAACTAATTGATCTAATATATATGGCGGATTTGTCATACCCAAACGTAACATACACCCAGCAGGAATAATTGGGACAAGACCAGCCAATAGATCAGCAAGTGTAATGTGATGAGGCCATTTTTCAGATAATCCAGGACAAATAAGAGATGATGTAGTTCTGTCTAAATCACGGCCGTAAGCACCAAGATCTTCTGAAGTAAGCCATAGTTCCTTAACACCTTCTAAAATTTTGAATAAAATACTCTTTTTTAAACCACTGATAATTTTGGTCAAAAAAAAGACTTGGAAAAGTATATTTTATCCTCATTTCTTTTTATACCCATTCTTCCTGACAAAGATCACTTTGAGAGAACCAAGTCTAATTGTCATTGAGTAATAAGACACAGCCTTACTATATGATCATTGAAGAAACATTTTAAAATCTCATTAATACACATTTATGACCTTGCAACCAGCAGTCGAACTCAAGACGATGGGTCCGGCCCCAAAAGTCGAAATGAATCGGTACCCAACGGTGTACAAGCCTAACTTAAATCAATTCGCGATATCATGTAATCATCTTACGTTGTCTGCTTCGAACAGCTTACTGGTTGATAAATTACTATCCTTTCTCTAAACGCATATTCTAAAAAAGCTTACTAGTTAATCTTATTCTCAGTTTATGATTAAAATAGGGAGAAAACTAACGAAAAGCAATGAAATACAAATCTATTTCTTGTTTAATCCATTGAATTATCGTAGAAAACTTAAGAGGAACGTAGTTTCTATATGCACAAAACCTAGATTATCATCATTTGTTTATTTATTTATTTCAAAACATAGATAATCGTACAAGGGGGCACCAAATACATATGCACCACACAAATCTCATTTGATATGTGTGATGGCTGTGATACTGCCCAGGTACCCAAACAGGAGCACATAGTTTTCTTAGGGGGCCACACACGGAGCCTTCGACCTGAAGGTCTGATCTACAAGGCAGTGGAGCATCATGAGGAGATGCAGTCCCATGGTAGCCGGTGACCAACAATTGGTTCATACGCCATTTGTTCCTTCAGGATACTGAAGCCCATGTGCACCATTGGTTTGGAATCCGGTTAAAGCGCCGGACATTCGCTTTTCGTTCTCTCATTTTCGTAAACAACAACCCCGCTACGAGAAGGCAGTAAGTAGGACTTCCCTGGCAGAGGTTATATACGCGTGGCTATGTGAGAGCATTTGGAGAGGGAGAGAGGACTCTCCCCACTCTCAGCCGTACCAGGGTATTTGGGGGCAAGATTATCATCATACTAATAATAAAGAAAAAACTGATATAAGAGATATGAGACAAACTAGAGAGTGAATTGTACAGAATTATCACACTAGATAGGTTAAGTTAAATGATTGACAAATACCTTAATCTTAATCTTATATGATATCTACAAGGATGTTTTTATATATGGACTTAAACTAATATAATTTGTAGAGGTGGAAAGGTTGAGAAAAGAGAGATTCTTAAAACAAAAGAATTTTCTATTAATTATCCTCCACTCTAAATGTCGAACAGAATACATCACAACACTTGTATCATAATGAATGACTTATTCCCTGAGATACATCAATAAATATACATATCTACACATTTTAGTTTCATGTACCATCATCAGTTGGGATAAGGAATGAAAACATCAATTCATTTTCTCTTATTAATAGTTTGGCGGTTAATTCAATAGTTATAGAGACTCTAGGTGATATGGCTTAAAATAGATCACAATGGTGTCACAATGTATATACACACCGTCTTCCATTAAACTGTGAGATTCAAATTGTTTCATCTCTTTCTTTCTACGAACCACTTCTTTCTACCTGTATCATATCCTTATACACAATCTTTGTTTTATATATTATTACCATTGAATTAACTACTTCTATGAATCCGGTGTTCATCTTGTTGTGTTAATGAGGTATAGCAACTTGAACGGATGCATATATGTGCCTGATCCTACGTTGTAGCTGACTGACTAACTGACAGACTATAGAAAGTATAATACAAGTTACAATTGAAAAAGTACGATGTTGGATACAAGATCAAAATTTAAAATAAATAAATGCATGATAAACATAAACTAACCTTTAAATGCTTGTTTAGCACGATCTAATAATTGTTCAATAGGATAACTAGCTAATATACCACGAGCTTGTTTTGTTTTACAATATGTACATGCATTTAAACAACCTGTACTTATAGCCAATATTTCAATTAATGGATTACGTCGAATTTTCGGTAAATCTAATGCTACACCAGCTGGTGATGATGATGAATTTATCATTGAATTAGATGTATCTGATGATGTATACTTTTTATCCAAAAATCGTACCACATTTCCTAAATTATTTATATATAAATATACATAAACAATGAAGGTGGGGGAATCAACTGTAACAACAACAAAAAATGATAGAAAATGGAAAAGATCTCATTAGATAATCGATGACGGAGACGTTTAGTTAAACTTGAACCGATGCATATATGTGCCTGGTCCTATGTTGTAGCTGACTGACTGAGATAATCGACTAGAACTAACTAAATTTCATTTCATATAGTTTAAAAAAGGTGTATAGTGAACGAGAACTTAAGTAAAGATAACCAATTTATTGTTTCATGCAAAATGACAGAATGTATGAAAATCATACATTAAATAGTTCATTTACACATCTTCGATTAGTTGTCTCTCAAAGACTTTATCGTTCCTTCGTTCCTGTTATTATTACAATTACTTTTTGTTTAGATTCCTGTTCTCTTCAATTCGATTTTCTCAATCTTCTGCTGCCAGACATTCCATTTCTGATTAGTGTTACATACTACTTAGATCTGTCAACATAAGTAACATACACCACAGGTAAATAATATGAATGATTCGCAGTGACAGCTCAGATGTTATCTTCTAATATTCCATGACAGAGTGGGTATATAATATTCTAGGAGTTAACAATCAAATAGCACAGTTGATTTCAAATGATCAATATAAATCCGCTCCGATTATTGTACCATAGTCTGTTTGGTCATATCGAAAATAGTAGAATCAATCTATACACTACTTATTATTACCCACAGTCAGTAATATCTAAATGGATTTATCAGATACAAGTTCCATTCCAAATATGCTCTGTTGAATTTTTTTCCATTCACATAAATACTGGTATAAATGAGCACCGAAATAGATATGAGCCACACAACTACAAGGAGATGAAATTATGAAGAAACACGAGAGGAAGAGAGAGTAGGATTTAACAATAAATGAATAAAACTAGGGGAACGGAGAATAGAATATGATAGAAGATACACTTCGGTTAAAAATAAAATCAGGAAAACTTTCAGTTAAAGGAGTTCCTCACTTTTCGATAAATGATATACAAGAAAACTATAACATAATTGGCATTGGCTTCTATTCTGAGCCATGTTTAAAAACGTTTTAAGCTACAGCAGCTATACCATCCCAAGGAATTTAGTCTTGAACAGCTTTCTCCAATACCATGAACCTATATCATAAAATGACTACATGTTGAACATTTAGAGGAAATCACGCCAAACCTAATAATTCAATGAAAACTTACAATAAAACTAGTTTCTATGAAACACAGAAAATACAGGTTAAACGTTTGCCCCAATCTAGTAAAAGAGATTAAACACCAAAGGGATGAAAGAGGGCAAATGACTGACAACTATATGAAAACAATCATATTCACTAACACATCTATAGATGTCAAAATTTTCACTGGTAACAGACACACTGTATAAAGTATTTAATCAGAATAACACAAAAATCAACAGTACTTGCGATGGACACGGGGTTGTATAGTTTTCTCAATGTTTTTAAGAAACATACACGGATAAACTTTTACTTTATTTTATTTAGACACATAAATATCGGTAAAAGAAGGCATAAAATAGATATGTACCACATAAATCAATCGATATGTGTGAGGACCTGGATACTGCCGTGGTGTCCGAACCGAAGCAAATAGGTTTTTTAAGTGGTCATAACACAAGATTTTGACCTGAGGCACAAGGCAGTAGAGCAACGTAAGGACATGCAGTCCCATCGCAGCCGGTGAACAACAATTGGTTCATACACCGTTTGTTCCATCAACATACTGGAGCCCATGTGCACCAATGGTTTGAAATCAGGGTTTTCCAACTCCCCTACATGGATGTTTCATATCCACCAACCTGATTAAAGCGCCAGACATTCGCTTTTCGTCCCCTCAATCAAGTAAATAACACCCGCGCCGCGAAAAGGCAGTGAGTAGGAATTCCCTGGCAGTGGTTGCATGCACATGGCCATGTGAGAGCATTTTGAGAGGGAGAGTTGATTTTCCCCACTCTTGACCGTACTACAGCATTTAGGGTTGCATAGATAAACAGTACAGACTGTTGAATACACTGAACAACAAGGATTGATGTGTAATTAGTTTATTAAGAAGTGAATTATTATAATTCCAAAATTACTGATTATTAGACAGTGACAAAGATGAACATTTATATTTTGGTTATTTGAATATTTTATATAAAATGAACATTTTCATTGAGTTTAGAAAGAATAAAAAATTTCAGGAAACTATCTAGACATTTTTAAAATATGGATCAATAGTTTACTGTTTTACTGAGAGCACAAACTGATCTAAGCACTGGAAGGTTGTTTCGCTCTAGTATAAGATTCTTCAGTAGTCCACGCTCATGACTCTGGAACTGGGAATCAAACCCAGGAGATCATTGATCTCATAGTTGAACAATGAATATAAACAACTTTGTATTCTATTGTTCAGCCGTCAGGAAACTCGGAAGTTAAATTTTAGGTAGATTACTTATTAATAACACCGAAAAACACTGAAATGTCAAGAAATATTCTATAAATATATCTACAATGTGTTTGGAAGTAGGTCAAAAACAGCATATTAAAAAAGCAGTAAATGAACAAATAAACATAAGGTCTATGACTGCAGGAAACTTAAATTTAAAAACGCATATAATTCGGTGATGATATACAGTGAAACTAGTGTAGATGATATGCATAAAGCACATATTAAACATTCATGTCAATATATTATTTATTTTATTTTATTGTAACACATAGATAATGGTGCAAGGAGGCGCCAAATAAATATGCGCCGCACAGATATGTGTGAGGGCTGGATACTGCCCGGGTGCCCAAACCGAAGCAGGTGGTTTTCTTAGGGGGCCACACACCGAGCCTTTGATCTAAAGGTCTGATCTACAAGGCAGTGGAGCATCGTGAGAAAATGCAGTCCCATGGTAGCCGGTGACCAACGATTGGTTCGTACGCCATTTGTTCCTTCAGGATACTGGAGTCCATGTGCACCATTGGTTTGGAATCCGGTTAAAGCGTCAGAAATCTGCTTTTCGTCCTCTTAGTTTCGTAAACAATACCCCCTCCACGAGAAAGCAGTGGGTAGGACTTCCCCGGCAGAAGCTATATACGCGTGGCCGTGTGAGAGCGTTTGGAGAGGGAGAGCGGACTCTCCCCACTCTCGGTCGTACCAGGGCATTTGGGGGCTATGTCAATATGGTTACAAAGATTATACACATGGGATAAAAAAGAGTAAACTACTGTCAGGGAATTCAGTAGAAAATGAAATAGATTCTATCCAAAAATTTAATCTGTTCTCATACTAACTAACCAGACAAAAGAAGACTTCAATTGAAATTTTTGTGAACAAACATGATATTACCAATATAAAAGCTACTAACTTAACAAGAGAGAATCAGTTAGCATCATTGAAGACTTAGAACTAGATGAAACTGGATACGCTTCTGATCAAGTTAAATACATTGAATAGAGCCCAACTTTGTAGACCACAATATTCGCACAGTCTTATCAAAATACAATCAATGCTATGGTCCAAACTGCATATATTTAACTGCCCATTGATTACGGCATAAAAAGCGCATAAAATGCATAAGCACTAAAGTAAATGCTATTGTAGGTAAATGTTATTTTGAATAGATGCTAGCAATAGGATTCAGGATTTATATTAATTCTTAGTTGAGAGACTTCAGTTAGATATGTGTCCGTATCCTTATTGTTTCAAAAGTCAAAATGTTATCATCCATCATGTCACCATGTTATAACAATGATCAAAACTTGTTCAATAGATATGGTATTTATGAGCGTTAATACTCAGAGTTTAGATTATTAGTTTCTATTGACCTACAAGGCTTATTATAGTGACGGCATAGTGATACACTGAAAATTGGGACAAACACACGTAGACAATAACTAACCTTGTAATGTTTCTTCAACAACTTCAACAATACGATCAATTTGATGCACACCAATAACACTAACACCCTGAGCAGAAGAAGAATTAGGTACGTTAATAAAAATAACACATTGCAGATAGTTAACAGATAATCTAACAGTCAGTCATAAACAGCATAGCTTTTGACATAAAAATGTGCATAGGTTTAACTTATCTCGATTTACATTAGCACAGTCAATTTGAAAAGAGAATGGGAACAAGCAATGGTGTGTACCTTTATCCCACTGAGTTCTTACAATTTCATCCAATCTCACAGAATCAACCCAATTGGCAAATATTTGATCTACTTTGAGCATGATGTTATATCTGAATCCACTAGACTAAGAAGAATTATAGCCGGGTCACTGAATATCAATAGGTGAACTAGGCTAGCTCTTCCATATTGGCTCGGTGAGATCGAGAAAATGAACATACTTGGACCCAGTATATGGATTTAACAGATAAAGCTTAAGGTAGTAAAATATGCTGTTTGATTCGACACAAGATTTAAATAAATGTGAAATATAATACAAAGCCCATGACACAATTGTTCGAAAGCAAAGTCTTTTAAAACCAAATATAAGATACTGACTTATTACTAGAATCTCAACTGTAAATTGAAAAGTGCTTTGTACATCTACAAAAATATTTGACAACAAATAACAACATCAGTTAACACACTAAATACTCTAACTACTACTAGTTATTGACTTTATTATTTATTTTAACACATAGATATTGGTACAAGGAAGCACCAAATACATATGCGCCACACGAATCTCATTTGATTTGTGCGAGAGCGAGGATACTGACCGTGTGCCCAGACCGAAGCAGGTGGTTTTCTTAGGGGGCCACACCCGAAGCCATTGACCTAAAGGTCTAATCCACAAGGCAGTAGAGCAACGTAAGGACATGCAGTCCCATCGCAGCCGGTGAACAACAATTGGTTCATACACCATTTGTTCCATCAACATACTGGAGCCCATGTGCACCATTGGTTTGAAATCAGGGTTTTCCAACTCCCCTACATGGATGTTTCATATCCACCAACCTGATTAAAGCGCCTGGAATTCGCTTTTCGTTCTCTCAATTTCATAAACAACACCGCCGCGAAAAAGCAGTGAGTAGAACTTCCCTGATAGTGGTTGTATGGACGTGGCCATGTGAGAGCATTTCTAGAGTGAAATGGATGATGTTGGGTAAATAATTGTTAAGTGAGAAATTTAAAATGCAGTAAACAGGTCTATTGTCAATTATCTCCAACGTTTTTCGGTCATAACTTTATCATTGTTTCGGAACCGATATATATTTGATCCATCACAAATTTCTCATAAGTCATTTAACGAATATAGAATTGTGTACCCGACTCTGAGTCACATTTATGGTGTAAGAACTAGAGATACATAGAAGGTGCCGACAGAGGTAGATGAACCATTTTAGAGAGCAACAATCGTCAATATTCCTAAAACAGAAGTAAAAGAGTAACTCATTTAGGTCGTTTTTAACTTTATTTAGCTAGCTTTTTTCCCAGCTGATGTTTCTGTTTAACGTACCGACATAATTTATAATAGCCCTAACCAATATTCATCATTTTAATGTTAGTCCGTGAATTCATAAAATGATTAATAACTCCAAAGCAAAAACAATGAAACTATTGGTAGGATCCATACTACGGTAGCGATCTTTTGACCCATGTTCCCTAAAGCTTACAGATTGCTCTTGACATATTGTTCCGTTTTCATTAAATCCATATCATTAGTTTGGCATAGCAGTTGAAAACAATGAGGGGGCTACTGTATACAATGAGATACATCCTTACAAAGAAGACAGATGGAAAGCAGGAGCCAGAAAACATTAAGTAAAATGATCTAAAATATTCTCATATAAAGATAGTGGAAAACCGTAAATATTACTAAATCTGGAAAATATGAATGACTGAGAAGAGAACAAACATGGAACATATAACTAAAACATCACACAGTGCTACGAACCTTTAAGTAATCTGCACCTGGTCGACTTTGTGGTACACAACCAGCGGCAACAACACGTTTGCCAAGTTTTATTCCCTCTAAAACAGCATTTCGAAAGTGATCTTCGGCTGGACCTTTAACTGTACAGCTGTTCAAAACCCAAACATCTGCATTCTTTTTCGCATCGCAATTTGAAAGTACAGTTTTGCTTTTATCCGAGCTTTTTTTCTTTTGAACAGCATTGATCACCGTTGTCTTGGCATCCGCAAGCTAAATCTGATGTAGAAGTGATATCTCCCGCCGACTCACAACCATTTGTAAACTGTGAACCATCCAGTGTAACTTGATAACCATATTTGGCTAGTAGTCCGGTCATATATTCACTGTCACTAGTATTATGTGCACAACCCCATGTTTGTACAAAAACATGAAACTTTTCTAGAAAATGTTAAAAACACTTGAATATAGCACGAGCAATTGAAATACAAACTAGTTTGTAATTCTCTCAAATACTAACGTCGAAATATGTATTTGTTCCTTATGTATTGTTATTATAACACACTACATTATTAAAAATATCGTTGTAATGAGCTGATAGCTCGTGACTGAATCAGAAACTTATAAGGAATATAGGACGGAATACAAAAGGATCTCGATTTATAATGGCGAGTGAGAAAATACCAAAAGAAAGAAAAGTTCACTATAAACAAGTAAAACGAGAATAAAATGTACAGTCAAGGTGAAGATCTAAGGAAAGGCGAAAAGAAAGCAGACAACTGTTTAAATGACTGGATTTTAATTCGACAAAGTGATGTATTTGATCAAAGACAGTTGGAATGCTCGAGAATAAACTCTTGGTAGTGATTTCAACCTAGCCAACAATCATTACCAATATCTAACTACAATTTTGATGGAACTGAAACGATGTCAACAAGCAGAAAAAAACTATGACGAGGATTTTCTGTAGGTTGCCTATAATCATCTGATAACAGTCAACATTTTCAGTTCACAGAGTAGTGTCACTAGATTTCGAAGCGTCCGAGAAGTTGAAGCTCACTGACTAAGCCATCCTTCAATCAATGTGGTTTGTGTTTTAACTCGCATCTAACAGGGTAAAGATGCACATATATTTTCAAACTTTACATAATATGGCTCACTACACCAAACTAAGTGGAGTTATATGAATCTTCAACTATACGTCAGTGAATCAGCTCAAAAAGGTGAAGGTTTAAGAAATTACTACGTAAATAAAAATCATACATGGCAAAGAAATTTTTTTAAAGATATAAAGAAAACTACTAACCAGGTAAGTTACTACTAAGACACAAATCTTCAGAAATATTTTGCTTTTTATTTCTAAATCTTGTCTTTACTAGTACAGAAGATTCTGTCTCTGGTCTATCGTGTTCGGCAGATAAATCTTCAATATCCATTAGCAGGTATGAAAGTTTGTACTATATGAGTGCATAAAATCTGAAAATTAATAAACAAGAATAATTGATTATCAAACAGAAACATCAGGTATTTGAAAGTGTTAAGATTCATATAAATGGGTAACAAACAGATTATTTAAACTGGAATAAACAGCCAGTTTTAGGTTTTCAATTGGTGGTTACTAACTGCAAAACTGTTTTAATAACATTTGTTTTTATGACTACATAGAATAGAGAAATTAAAAAAGCGATCATGTTATAAAAGAAATACTATCGGTTTGGTGGGAGACCCGAAACTCACTATATTAGTATTATTACCAACAGAACGGGATTTTAGAAACCTCGAAACTAATTGGAAGTACATGCTTACAATCCTTTTAATTATTCCCATGAAAGAAGAAAGACGGGAAAACTACCTTGAGTTCGGCACCCAGATAAGTAAAGATTGAAAAGCTAAACTGAAACTTGTTAGGTAAATAACAAAGTGATTTTTTTTCCAACTTTATTTAACATCATATCCAGTTGCAAACGAACATTAACTCATGTTGATAATGGTAACACTTGAAAAGTAGGGGCAGTTTTAATGTAGAATTATTTAAACAAATATGCAATCTTTCTCTTATATATTACCACCTTTGACCTAACCACTGCTGTGAATCCGGTGTTCATCTTGTTGTGCTGATGCGGTATGGCAACCTGGACCGATGCACATATGTGCCTGGTCCTACGTTGTAGCTGACTGACTGACTGACTGAAAACATGTCACATGAAGTAAAAATCATTTTATTTGTTTGTGCTGAGATACTGTCCTGATGCCCTTATCAAAACAGGTGGTTTTCTTGGGAGGCCGTATGATAATAACAATTGAGTTTTAATTTCCATTTGTATTCAGTATCCCTGTGATGAGTTAGTGTGAAGTTACTGACTTTTTAGTAATCTCATCTTGATGTTACTGTACAGTTCCACGTTTTCGGTATCGTCCGATATGGTAAAGTTGGCGGTATCAAAATTATAATTTGTGGACGAACCGATTAGGTATAAGATAACAGGTCTCGGATTTCGGCGCGAAAATCACCCATCCATTCGGCTAAATATCGTTCTTTCTATTTCAGCTGATGTCAGTTTGTGATAAAAAACCAAAATCTAATTCCTAACGCTAACCATCAACAGAAAATTATAATCCTAATTCTCACATTGGTTTATGAACCTCATTTAGCCTTAGTAAGTAGATGGACATTCGTAAGCTCACCCTGGCGTCGCTCAGAAGTCGTCCATAGATTATATTCTCAAACTGAGGAAGGAAAAACGGTTGATCACATCATGAAAAGTTATGGAGTTAAGATGCAGACGTGTGGGAAAACAACGGTCAGCAGAAACAAATGAACCGAATGGGTGATCAATATAAAGAACTGTGAGAAAAACTAGCAAGAATGACAAGGGGCAACATGGCGCGAAAACAGGATAGGATTAAGGCACGAGACAAGTATCAAGTACACATGATCCAGACGTTGCTATCAAGCCCTCTAAAATAACTACCTAGTAGATTGATTATCGTCACGCCATCTGATAGAGGACTGCAAGTAAGGTCGACCTATATTAACAATGGCTTTAGCTCGGCATTTTCTCAATGATGTGCGATTCGCCGCTGATTACGTTGAAGATGATTGTCCTGAAGTCGTTGTATGTCTTTTTCCTAGACTGACCTGAAGTATACTCCCAGGCGTGGCTTAAACTCTTGTGATTTTACTTAACTGCGACATGTTGCGGAGTGCTAGACTAAATGATCGTGCCACAAAAAAGTGAAAGAATTCACACCTATTCAAATGGAAATTGATTTTTATTTATGGTGGATCTATTCACTTACACCACACCTTTTACTACTCGGTACCGAAATATCTTGAAAACACGACGAAATCTTCAATTCTCAATCTTTAGAAAAGTGTTAGTTTAGGTGTCCCAGAATTTTGAGTGCTTTTGGATAATTATGAACCATTTTAAATATAATCCCGTTGCTTCAGGATCCAGTAGAAGAATTCCAGAAAAGTTTTAAACAGCCATAAATTGATATCGAATTCTAAAAGTTCAAATGGTTGTGAACAGGATAGAAGCTTTCGTTTAACAGGATTCCGTGGCTAGTAGCAGCGGTAGGCCAATACCCTCAGGTAGGAACCTAGGTATATTAACGTTAAAAATGGAAAAGGAAACCGGCAAATCATAGTAACATACTGTCTTTAGTCCTGTAGCGGTAAATAAATCCCCAAAATAAATAGCTCTGTAAGTTTTCAACATTGGATGCTGACCATGTGTTTTAGTGGATTCATCTAGCTGAAGGCGCCCGGTCATGCATCCGCACTAGATCACGTGTGGTAACGCTGTGCTCAACATCTACCCTAATCGCTAGCCAGATTAGATCAGAGAATTCCGATATATTGGTAATCGCCAAATACACTCTTCCGATCTCCTCGACTCTGTCTTTTGATTTCTCTTGATGGGTACAAATTATATTAGGTTTTGCTGGTAAAACCGTTGTCAAACACTGAATACCTGTGTCATCATTAGTCCTTAAGAATATATCGAGTTTTATGATATTAATAATTATTACTATTAATGGCTTTATTCAATTTTATAGTTTGGTACAACATAGAATTCTCAGCGCAGGTTATTTCAACAAGTTACTTACGCAACAACAAAAAAACAGTAACGAATACAGGACTCCTGGGAAGTCGCTTAGACTAGCTCAGCCGGTAGCAAATGCCAGCACTTGGCAACTCTTAAGGAGTAGTAATTGATTCCACAGTCCGTTCTGCTGTGTTGTCTGTACTTTCTTGGTGTTACCCTTTAGATTTGTGTTGGAGCTAAACTTAAGTAGATGTTTAAGGGAATGTTCAGAAGTGTTAAGGATACTATAAGCCATTAGAAGGTCACCTCTAAGACGCCTATGCTCTGATGGGTAAAGGTTCAGTTATTGAAGGTGCTCCTCATAATGCTTGAATTTGAGTCACCGAAATGATTACGTTCCAGAGTGTCCTTATCCCTTTGGAGTGAGGGAGGAAATACCATGTTTCGGTACTATAAATTGGGAACGAATAAAACTGTTGAAGATTATGTGGAAAGTTCTTCCGTCAAATTGGCCAAAAGTAGAAAGTCTAACGATACCTGATGTAGAAGATAGTTTATAAAGACCAAGAGAAGAAGAGGTCCTAGTACTGAAGCCTGGGGGACCCCTCTACGATATTCCATAGCCTGAGAGAATTTGAAGTTGATACTAACCTCAAAATGTCGATTTTTTAGATACGAAGCAAGCCGATCGATTAAAGGTGACACCTATTCGTTTGAGCTTATTCATAAGACATATATGGTTGACCCTATCATTGGCTTTTGTGAATTCAAAGTAAACGACGTAAACCCTCCTCCTTGCGATCAACGGTAGTTGTCCATCTGCCCACCGCAGTCAGCAGGTCGGTTTTTCAAGAATGTCCCTTCCTAAACCGTGCTGTTGGGGTGGAAAGAAGTTTACGGATAATAAATAGTCGTGTATACCGCCGTATATCAGGTACCCCATAATTTTATATGGCATGGAGAGCAGGGCCACCAATCGATAACTTGAAGGTTCACTGCGTCGATCTCCTTTGAAAATTGGTGTGATGTGAGCCAGCTTTTAAATCTCCGGTAGTTTGCCTTGGCTTAGTGAGTGTGAGAACATCACGCTGAGCGGTGTCGCTAGGATTGAAGGTGTTTCCCTCAGTATAGCAGAATAAACCATAACCGGACCAGGAGAAGTGTCTTTTCTTGGATTTTGCAGTTTCCGACACACCAAATCGGCGCTCAAGTTTACCTAGATAAGTCCAGTGCAGTTGCGGATGAAGCTTCCATCAATATAGTTAATGTATTCGGTTGAAATGTGCAAGAGTATTGTTCAGCCGGAAGGTCAGCGTCGTCGAAAAGAGGATGCATAGTCGAATAAGCTTTACGGATTGGAGACAAACATATCCATACACTTGATCGGGTACTGAAGCCTGTCTTCACTTATTGCCTTCGTGTATTTGTTCCTTATATGTTTGTATTGCCTGCACGCGTCGTTGATATTGCTTCGTTTGTATTCTACACAACAGTGTCTTTTGCAGCTTAGCAAACAAAGAGTGCGGTTCCTAATGACTGTAGGTTGCTTGTACGTTTCGGGGACCGTTTGAAGAACTGACTGCTTTGTTGCACATATGAGCGTGTTCAGTATTAAAACCCACTGACCTTCCAAATCAAGTTGAGGGTGAACATCTCAATCCACCTGTTGTAGATAGTCCTGTAGAGCTGATGCACTCAACCGTTTGAAATCTCAGTGCCTGTTGCTTGTAGGATAACTTTGTTCTGTTTTGCTGATAAGACCGAAGGCTAGGACGGCGTTATCGCTTTTCCCCAAGGAAGCCAGGATCAAGAGATTGTCAATCGAAAATTCTTCATTTGTAAGTACACAGTCTAAGAGCGACGGCGTCTGACTTGCTTCAAGGAGTTACCGACTTCACATCTTCAACTAATCCCAGATTCTCAATGACTTCGAAGAACCGAGCTTCAATGGAGTTTTCGCCTCGAATGTACGTGTGTTCCGCGAAACTGACTTTAGGAAGATTGAAGTCCACATGAATCAGGATATGACAGAATCCGAGACGCATGGAGCGGTATAATCCTTCCAGGATACAATTGTCGTGCACATTGTCATCAGTGGGCTTCCTGTAGATGACTCCTACTAGACACCACCAAACAGATTCACCAAGATGAACTCCTGTTTGTGCACTTGATGTACCTCCAGGCAGGATCGTAAGTATAAGGCTACTCCAACCACAATTTCTGTTTTTCTGTCGTTGCGAAACAAATACATCCCGCGTATTGCCAGCTCCAGGTCCATAAACTGGGAAGACATCCAAATTTCAGATATTCCTATCAGATGAGCATTGTTAGCATTGCTGATTTCACGTAACTCAACCATTTTATTCAGTAAACACGCGGCGTTCATGTATAAGGAGTTTATGCTTTCAATTTGAAAAGCGTAAGCCTCGTTCTGTTTGCCTGTATGAGCCTTACGTGGATAGACAGGCAGCCTAACTTTACAAGGTTTTTCAAGCTAGTAGCCCCTGTCATTTCCACGTGTTATTTAATAACCTAGACAGTCCACATGTGGAATTGTCAGCTCCAACTTGCCTTTGTGCTCGATCCCAGCGTCATGTGGCCTATCCGGATGCACATGGATTCCAGTTGGCAACCGGCGTCTGTGAAAATGAAATGTTTCCATAGTTGCAGACGCCATATAGGAGGATGGGAAGATTTTCTTCATCAGCCGAAGTTTAGAATCTGTTTTTCTTGGTTAGTCTCATCACTTTTTGGGTCAACATGTTTTTGAGCTTCATGGACTGCTTGATGAATTTACATTCCCGAATATTGCTAATGTGGTCAGGGTACGTGTTCTCTGGTTCATCTTGCAATATGATATTTCTTCGCGGAAAAACATATCGCGCGATTCTTTAAGATGTTCTGGATGAAAGTGTGCTCAGAATACCGTATATCAGACAGTCTTCTTACGTTCCCAGTTGATATAAATATGCATTGAGTGGCCACATAACATTGCTAGTTTACGAATGTTAACTCCTTAAGTTCTGTATGTAATTAACTTTTTCAACTGGTCAAAAGGATCACCAAAATACTTTATGCTGTTGCATGTCGTATGGTCGTCACCGAATGTTTTATACTAGAGAATGAGGATTATAACTTAAGACTTTAAACCGATCTTCTCATCCGTTTTATGTAAAACGAGTCCAAGAGGAAAATATTATATTTTCGTCTTATGAGATGTTTTGAATAAAATAGATGAAAAATTCGCGAAAAGTCTTGTGGTGACGAGGAAAAAATTATTGAATAATAAGTTCCGCGATTGCAACCTCATTAGTTTTACTGGACACGTCTATCCGAAGGTGCACGGTCACACATCTGCAACTGGTCACGAATGGACACGTTGTGCTAAACATCGTTTGCAACACCTAATCAGCTTATATCAGATGTCTCGTGATATATAGACTTTCAGATGTATCCATGAACCACTTAGTGTTCGACTTCTGATTTGACTAGGTTAGGATACTCCGGTTATAAAGGTGTTGTATGTGAAGGCATTATCAAAATCCGAATACCTATGTCATCTTTAGTTTCAGCATCAAACAGAGCAAAACTTGAGCTCTGATTACTAATTTGTGACAGTCATAATATAGTATGAGATTGTAGAGGGCTGAGTCGTCCAAAATAATCTTGGTTCTGACATAACATGTACGTATAGAGAGGGGAAGGTTCTGTAAACTGTCCTTAACATCAAATATCTCGCACAACTATCTCTTATTGGGAAATTCCTTTTGATTTAAATGGCATAATTTAGAGAAGTATTATTTCGAGGTCGTCAGCATCCTTGGTACAGTTGATTTTTTGGTCAACCTTTCTGATCAGAATATTGGTAGTCATAATATTTCGAGACTTTGAAAGTCGTTGGTTGGATCAATTACTTTTCGCTTGCTTTCAATTTCGGCAATATGAACATTCGGCTCTAAGTGGTCAACTGGCTTGAGTCATATTAATGTATTGGACTTTTCACGTCGTGGTATTCTATTAAACTGTCAATGTAAAACAGTGATTTCTTCTGCCATATTGTGCATATTATTTGAATTACCACATAATACCTTTGTAATCTGTCACTTTTTTCTCTGACTCGTGTTCTGGGCAATCCCTGGTCACTCGAGTGCTTATCGGACAAATATGTTTAACATTACATTCAATTCAACAACTACTTATCATAGTTGTCCGTTCTATCAGAATCCAGGGCTTCCACTTACTATCGAGATCAGAATTTTGTACCCCAGTAACAGGCTTATTTGATCGATTCAACTGTGTGGGTCAGAAAATTGGATAGGCATATTCCAATGGAGTAGGAAGATTTAGACGATAACTATCTTCTCGTTGGTAGCTTTCCGGACAAATCTGCACACCCCCAGTGTTTCACGTAACCTTAAACTAGGTCAGTTTCACTTTAGCCATACCAACGTTCGTTGACAAAATACATTTTATTTCGTACTGTTTTTCTTTATGTTCCACAATTATTATTGCATACCCAAAACATCATCTATCCGACTGTTTGTTAGTGTGAAACATTCACATCACAACGGGATTACAATCAAACCCACTGGAAACAGCCATCACTAATAGATTCAGATTACACTTACTTCCTTAGATTGTCATTGATCTTACAGAGTCTTATCAAAAACCTCATGTTTAAATGATAAAAGACCCAGTGACTCATAATCGACTATATCATAATCAGGTTATTATGACTGACCAATGGATTATACAGAATAGGATAAACAACTGAAGTCAAAATATCACTCGAGAATATTCTTTGTTAATAGACAAAAGTAATGTGTAATACAGAATTTAATCAAGTTTATAAAGTGTATAATGATCAACAGTCAAATAATATATCACAAAGAATGTAATCGATAAATAAGAGACAAATATGTTTATGATTGTTTTTTAACTAATTTCGGTGTAGTATAAATATCTAAACGCCGTTGTCGACCAATTGGAATACTTTCACGAACACATTTCAATTCAGAAAAGTCTAAATCAGCTGTTATGATTTCCTCCTACAATAAGAAAAAATTGAAGATTTTCAATGATTACAAACACTTTTACAAATTCAATGATAATAACAAAATTATAGGATACTTTAGAAACAAACGAACAATATTGGATAGTGGCTAGCAGTGGAATCCAAGACGCGCGTTTCGTCTTATTTGGGACTCATCAACTGGATGTAACTGCATCTGAGTTGATGTTCACTCTGAGACTCGGACCCAGTATCATTCGCTTCAAAAGCCATCGCGTTATTCACTCAGCTACTGAGTCCTGATAGCCACTTGCTTGTGCGATGGAGTGAATTTCAATTCACTTAGTATTGTTTGGCTTGTATCTGACAAATGACCAATACATTTCAATTGTCCAATTAGAGTTACAAGTTGTGATCTATGATGCCAAAAGTGTCATGACCTACGAAACAAACACACTGGTGAATAAAAAAATGAACAAGATTTAGGTACCAGACAACACAATCTATAGGTTTTCCTAGGCAAAACAACACCATCTTTAGTGAATTATTGGGTTCATTTACAGTATATTATACCGTTCAAGTAAACTAGCGGGATCCAGTTGATCTAGTAAAATACAGTAATAACAAATTGTGAATACTTACAGAGTATCAACTACTCTACGGGGAATAAACAAGAGACATTTTTACTCTCTGATCTCAGACCAAAATTACTAGAGATAAAAAACAAATTATTGACTGAGAATTTTACCAGATCTATTAAAGGATGACAAACAGTTACTCTGAAATTAAGTGAACCGAGATAAGGAGACTGTGCCATGGAAGGCAGTATAAAAACGAAGAACATGATGTGAGATTACTGAGCGATAAAAATTAAACTTTTTTAAAATGATAAATTCACTTGGTATTGTTTGTTTGAATCGTCCCATTGATGTTTAGGACTGTGATAGCTACAAATAAGTAACTATCAGGACTCAGAACCTATGTAGATAACGCGATGGCGTTTGAAGCGAATGATACTGAGTTCGAGTCCCAGAGTGAACATCAACTGTGAGATAAAGGTATATCCAGCTGACGAGTTCCGAATAGGACGAAACTCACGTCAAACTGTATCCCACTGCCAGCCACTATTCATCTTTGTATATTTATATCAAGTAAATTATGAGAAAGTAACACACGAAAGCTTTTCTACGTCATCCCACCATACGAAGATGAGTTAAAATAGGCTCAAGTCAGTTGTTAATAAAATGTACTGTGCAGAAAAGGTTATTATCATTGGAAGAACAAAGGTCCATGTTTCATCGGAAACCTAAACGGCATATAAACGATTGCATCACATCACACGGTTTTTTTTTAACAATTTACATGTGTGCGACTACACACATACATGACGAGCAACCGTGACTTGTAAGTTAGGGTCTCTGGATATGTATCAAAATGGTTACAGAAATAAATAAATTCAAACATATAGTAGAAACAGGTCATTAGACTAATGTGTTAACTTAGACTTTGTAGTTTTGTACAAAAGTTGTCTAGAGTTCATCGAGGCCTTGGTCATACTAACATTCACCCCCCCCCCTTATATATACAGAAACAGTATGTTTTCAACATTGCAAACCTACCCTGATAATATTGATTTATAACCTAGAATAGTGAGTTACTGACTGTTTTTCATATTATTTTCTTTATTGTCATTATTTCCTTTTGTTTTCCACGCATAACTACTAAATGACAAGTATACGAGTGATTAGATTATTCAAAATGTACTGAGCTAATATATTTGCGTCTTCTTACTACATTATCATTTAAACACTTCTACATTACAAGTTGAATTCATCAGGGGAACTAGATTTCAAATAATTAAACTGCTTAGAATTTCAAGTGTATTGATGATTGGAATATCTAGTCTCTAACAATTACATGTAAGATTATGCTCTGCCAGACTCTAGAGAATCATAGCCAGTTGAATGTTGTATGTACTAAACTGCTAGGTCCTGGGTTTGAATCTCGCAAGGCGGGATCGTAGATGCGTACTGCTGAGGAGTCCCACAATGGGATGAAACGGCTATCTAGTGCTTCCAGGTTTTCAATGGTGGTCCAGCTTCAATCGACTTATGATCTCAACCATTAAAACTTAAATAACTTTATAATTAGATCATCTCTATTAATATCGTGTATTTTATGTGCTTATATTTAACAACAACTTTAGTGTACTACACAATAATGGTAAGTAAAGAAATGTTTAGCGTGTACAACTGTTTACCTTTGTTGAAAAAAAACTGTATCAACTAAACTGATAATTACTCGAGTTGTGTATTTAATTACAGATATATAACATTCATCCGGTTTTTTCTGCCTGATAATGGCTTTGTTTTCTCTTCCAACCACCACCGCCAACTATGACGTGCAATATTTGCCTGTGTATGATTAGGTTGGAAGAAGACTAGAAGAACACAAACTAAAATCTTGTTGATTGATGTAGACCACCTAGTTGAGTCCCATACGATAATTGTGACCAGTAATTAGAGACATCGAATGATATGACTGAGAATAGATCGCAATCACACAAATGAATTCAGTCTCTGTCTTTCATCTTGAATTTTGAGTTTTAAAACTATCTTATACTCTTTTATTTCTGAATTATAATGTCTACGCTGAATATTTTGAATGAATCTGACACCCCCCCCCGATTATCTCATCTTGCTGGGATAATACAATATGATATGACAACTTGAATCGATGCACAGGTTCTACGTTGATTATGTGTGGCTGACTCCTCAAAACTTGATGCTATCACCAGGTTATATAAATCTATCAATAGTTTACTTTCATAAAATTGATCTAAAAAGTTCAAATGAATAGTGAAATACAATGAATTATTATCACTATTATTCATCAAATACTTACCTCTTTACCGCCTTTAGCTATAACTATACCCCATGGTGAAGTGATCAATGATTCAGCATGACTTATATAATCTAATTCTAGATTACAAGCTGGACTACACATTCCAACATAACATTGTGTGTCTAAAGCACGTGCTCTACCCAATAATTCCCAATGTAAAGATCCTAAGATTTTTTTGGAGGGGGAAGGGGAAGGAGAAGTGACAATTGAAAAAGAAAAGAGATATCACATATAAAATAAAGTATACTTTCTAATTATTGAAGTGAAAAATATACATAGTTACAAGAACATTGTTTTCCCAGAAAAAAGACCACAAGTTTCACACAAAACTATTACTAAACGTAATAGATAAATAGACACAAAAAAAACTGTACTTCCTTGTCTAAGTTAAGTTGAGTTTAGGTTGATATCATGAATGGATCAACGTAAGACTACTACTAAAAATCTGAAAGCACTGGAAGGCTGTTTCGTCTTAGTACGGGTCTCCTCAGAAGTGCGCATCTACAATCCCGAAAATTGGTACAATAAATAATAATAATAATAACCAATCCATAAAACTGGGTAATTAGATTAGAGTAGTAATCAATATCGTACTATCTATTTCTTATTGATGGTCGAATTTTATCGATCAAGTAATATATGATCATAATTCAGTGTATTGATAACTCCGTTCACTTTGTTCAACGTTAAAACGGTTAGAGGATATTTCTATATAACATTTAGGGAGATGATGTTTCCTCAGTAGTGTATTCAGAACTATTCTGATCGAGAAATGAAATTTGTGTAAGCATACTAACGTCACACTACCTAGTCACTAATAATCAATGAACCCAATTTGAGTAGAGTTTTGTCCTTTGAACTGAATAGTTTGTCCGTGAAGCTTTTGTTCTTCTCCTTCTGAACAACATCATCAGCACAAATTTCAGCTAGAAGTGAGGTATTCAAATTGCTCTACATATAACTGACAGCCTGTCCTGTCGACTATGATCTTTATTAATTATTCTTAACCGTTATTCAGTCATTGTCGGTACATCTATTTTGATTAGTTCTCTTATTGATCTGATTCTTGATTCTATATTTGTGTATGTGATTTTGCTAATCGATTGATAAATTGAGTCGATTACGATTTTCTTTTTTATTGATTTAGATGAATACTAAGCTTCTCAAAACAAAAATTCTCTGACCTATTTATACACCCCTTATTTAAAAATGTCAACGTTTTTACAATCGAACGTGTCCATCGATATAAACGAAGCTACAACGTCATAGCACTTAACAATTAAGCTGATATTCATGGCAGATGAGGATGAAGAAGGTGTAGACTTTGTTCAAATTCATGTTTCATGAAGTTGAGACAGTTTATTTTATAGGTGAGATTATACTTTCCCCAAAATGTCCTGTTACGGCCGAGAGTCGGGACAGTTCCGCTCTCCCTCTCGAAATGCTCTCACATGGCCACGCGTATATAACCTCTGTCAGGGAAGTCCTACTCACTTCTTTCTCCTGACATTACTATTGCTTACGAAATTGAGAAGATGAAAAGCGAATGTCCAGCGCTTTACCCGAATTCCAAACCAAATCAATGGTGCATATGGGCTTTAGGATGCTGAGGGAGAAAATGACGTATGAACCAATTGTTGGTCACCGGCTACCATGGAACTGCATCTCCTTACGATGCTCCATTGCCTTGTGGATTAGACCTGTAGATCGAAGGCTCCGTGTGTAGCCCCCTAAGAAAACCACGTGCTTCGGTTTGGGCACCCGGGCAGTATCACAGCCCTCACACATATCGAATGAGATTTGTGTGACGCATATGTATTTGGTGCCTCCTTGTACCAATATCTATATGTTATAATAAATAAAGAGATTATACTTATATTAATGAGTAAAATTTACAATACACTAAATTAAATAAACCCATTCTATTCAACAATGGTGTTTGTTTTTACTTTACGATAAAACATAATCAAGGGTAACAACTATATGATATTAAATAACTAAATTGTCTGACTCAAGTTTAGAACTATCAATGTACTAAATGAGAACACAAATAGCGACTAATCAAATGTGGCTATCAGGACTCAGTAGCTAAATGGATAACGCCATGGCAACTAATCGAATGTATTTGAAGACAAAATTACAAATCTGAGAACCATACAGTGAATACTTAATTTGTAAAATGTCAATCGATTGTCTCAAACTTGACTGTTCCTGCATTTTCATATCAATTACTTTCTGTTCCCGTTCTTTCTTTCTTGACCTACTACGGCCAGACATTCTAATCTTGATTATCATTAGATACTACTCATGTCGATATAAGTAGCACATAGCACACAAAGACCAAGAGAAAAACATTGTGAATCTGACAGAAATTTCATTTGTTTATAATAGTAATCTGAAAACTTCAAAACTTATTTTCCTTTTTTGGTTAGTCTTAGTTATCATCACTTTTGTAGAACATTGTAAGATGTTAAACTAGCAAACATCTAGAGTATAAATTTAGTTTGAAATGGTTTGATTTATCCAATTGTTGATAGTTTCTTTTTGCCTGAAATTTGATAAATCTTGGTTAGTATATAAGCAGCATCCTGTGTAGATTGTTTTGATATAGTTGTTATATCAATGCAATACGTAAGATTCATCAAATTTCTGTTAAGATATATCAACAACATGATAATTTAGACCATTTCAAGTTGAATTAAGCATATAAAAGTTGAACAAGTAAATGATTATGTGAGATTAGAAGCTAAATGGATAACGCGATGATATTTGATGCGGACGGTACTTGGTTTGAGTTCCAGAGTGAATATAATCTCTAGGACACAGGTAAGTTCGATTGATGTGCTCTAAATAAGACTAAACGCACATCCTTGATTGTATTACTACCCATACTCCATCTATTCTACATTACATCGCATGATATTATTGCATTCATTTACATTTTCGAACCGAATTCATTTTAGCTAAACGCTATAAAGATAAATCTCTACCTTCTAATTGTTCTAGTAGTAGTAGTATCGACACAATGCAAGATAATTGTAGATATGTATATTTATGCTTGTTAAATATTCGTACAATGAATTTCGTATTTGACATTCGAGTACCAATAGAAAATATCGACTGGAATTCATCTGACAACTAAGTTGTCAGCCCACATTTATTTATTTGAACAGATAAATACTGGTACAAGGGGGCACCAGATACATACGCGTCACACAAATCTCATTCGATATGTGTGAGGGCTGTGATACTGCCCGGGTGCCCAAACCGAAGCACGTGGTTTTCTTAGGGGGCTACACACGGAGCCTTCGATCTACAGGTCTAATCCACAAGGCAATGGAGCATCGTAAGGAGATGCAGTCCCATAGTAGCCGGTGACCAACAATTGGTTCATACGTCGTTTTTCCCTCGGAATCCTAGAGCCCATGTGCACCGCTGGTTTAGGATCAGGGGTTTTCCGACCCCCCTAGGTGGATCCACTTTATCCACCAACCCGGTTAAAGCACGGGACATTCGCTTTCCGTCCTCTCAATTTCGTAAACAGTAGTAATGCCACGAGAAGGAAGTGAGTAGGACTTCCCTGACAGTGGCTGTATACACATGGCTATGTGAGAGCATTTCGAAAAGGAGAGTAGACTCTCTCCACTCTCGGCCGTACCAGGGCAGAAAAACACATATGATTAGAAAATAATTAGACACTTGAAGACGGTCAGTCACTTGGATCCATTATATATATATAGGCACTTAAAACTTTCAGCAAGTACCATTTTACTACAGAACACACATAAAAAAGAGAAAAGAAAAGAAAGATATATCATAAACTTACCAGTTTTAGGATTGAATGCAGCAGGGAATAAAAGTAATTGACATCCTAATTGATTAGCATAAAGAAGTGATAGTTCCGGAAAACGAATATCATAACATATACCAATTCCAACTCGTATTACTGAAATTTTATTCTCGGCATTTTTTAAAGGTATCTCAAAAGAGAATGTCTCTTTACCAGAACTAAGTGAAGCTGATTCTTTAAATGTAAACTGACCTAAACAAAAAAAGCAATAAAGATAAATGAAATTTAATTTAATGATATCGAAACTGAGAAGATAAAACAAAATAGATGAGTGAACAAAATGTACTATCATCAAGAAGGTACAAGGATTTATAAATAGTTGTCTACGCAAGATACTTAACATCCATTGGCCGGATACCATCAGCAACAACCTTTTGTGGGAGAGAAAACACTAGTTTTCAGCCGAAGAGGAAATTAGGAAAAGATGATGGAAATGGATTGGACATACATTACGGAAATCACCAAACTGCATCACGAGAAAAGCCCTAACTTGGAATCCTCAAGGGAAGCGGAAAAGGGGAAAACCAAAGAACACATTACATAGGGAAATAGAAGCAGATATGAAAAGGATGAATAACAACTGGAAAGAGCTGGCAAGAATTGCCCAAGACAGAATTGAATGGAGAGTGCTGATGAACGGCCTATGTTCCTCCACGTGAAGTAACAGGTGTAACCAGCCAGAAAAAAATAAAAATTCAATGTTATTAGACTTGATATCATTATTATTTCATCTGTAAAATACAGATTTGAACCCGATTCTACGTGTATCAGGGTAAGTGATATTACGCTGTTACCTAAAAAGGAATAGATGGACGAGAGTTCGAACCTACGAGCTATTGGCAAAAAATTCCAACAATCTAACCACGGAGCCATAGTACAAGAAGAAAAAGAAAGTAAATTTACTATAAAGTTTTTTATGTATAACAAGAGCGCCTTTTAAAAAGCGAATTGTTGATCAAATATAATGAAGACAATACTGATATTTCTGAATCGGTTAAAACTGTTAACTGAGAATAAAATACATATTGAATCGATGAAAATAGTGACGCAAAGTTAGCGAAACTAATCTACAAATGAGACTAAATGGGTTTACTCGGTTATTAGCCATAATATAATGTAAGAAGACTACAGATAATTCCGTTAACGGCACCAACAGATTCGACTGTAGGTTAATGTTTGATTTTGAATGGATCTTGTTTCATAGCCTAGTAACGAACTACGAAGTAACGTGTAAAGAGGAACATAGACCTCTAGAATGACGTATATATGAATTGCTATCTCCAATCTAATTATAACAATGTTGATCAACAAATATATAAAGTTGTAACATCCTAATGGGTAGAAAAATTGGATTTTTAATTTTTTTTGATGTTTTGTGGCTGTGTATTGATCAATTTTGAAAAAGATCTTATATGAGTCTATTTCATGACAACAAAGGTATCAACTACATATCTGAGACAAATTCGTAGTTTAGATTCGGTCTGAGCAACCGGGCGGTATCAAAGCCTACACACAAATCAAGTGATTTGTGTGGCGCCTATCTATTCAATGCCCTTTTGTACCAATATTTATGTGTTCAAATAAATAAATAAATAGGAATAAATGTCATCAACGAAAATATTTGATTCTAAATGTGACATAAACAGTGTGGCTACAGTCAAGGAAACTGGTGATCCAATTGCTATTCCATTTTTCGGTTGTATAATGTCCCCTTAACAGTAAACAAGGTTGAATTTAAGCACAGTTTTAGGGATTTCATAATCGGACTGATGCTTAAAGGATATCTGTCAGAAAAAGTATCATCACTCTCTATCTCTCTCTCTCTAGTAAACCAATAATAAAATCTAAGCATCTATGAATAGGAATACTAGTGTATGATGGTCCACCTTATCGCTTACCATAATTTCAATCTTTTAGAGAATTATGTAAGTTGTGTTGAAGTGGCTTTAATATACTACTTAGATATTTAGATAATGAATATGTTGGCGTGTTTGTAAAGTCTACTATAGATTTTAATGAGATGTCTGACTTATGAATTTCAGGTAAACCATAAAAACGTGGTACAGTGCATGATTTGGGGTATAAATTAAACCATAAACAGATTGATTTTAGTTCTTTCAAAAGTTGACTTGTCTCTGATTTGACTTTATTTTTAACCGTTTGAAGATATTTTAGATCAATCTTTTGATATAGTTCTGTGGAAAGATGTTCAAAAGCTTCAGTATCATAATACTTTTTATTCATGACTACTGTTGTGTTAAAGTGTAGAGCTCTCAGTTCTTCTTTTCGACTGTTAGGTGTAAAGTGTTTTTTTTAGTCAAAATATGCGATGTTTTTTGACGTATTAAATGAGACTCTATTTCCCGATAGTTTGTTTTATAATTGGAGCAATTTCAAGAGCACTAAGTGGTGTTCTGTGATTTCATGGTTGCTTAGATTCCTGTCTGTGAAATAATGAACAATTCTTAGACCATTAGAGTCATCAAGTTGATATTAAAAATATCGAAATAATACAAAACGTCTTTTCAAACTACAAAGAAAGATGGATAGCTAAAGCTCTCCATATATTGCTTAACTGCCCTCAATAGAAAAGGTATCATTATGCATCTGACATGGACCATTTATCTGAGCTACCAAGTCTGATTCTATTCTCATACAAATCTTGTCTCATCATTTCACATTTTTCATCCATCAACACACGCACATACAAACATGTTTCACATAAAACATATTGACCGAAATGACATGACATTGACTTGGTCAAACTTGTTTTTTGATCCATCGCACTAAATATTCTTGCTTAATTCTTTTGTACTATTTAAACTTGGGTTAATTTGATGTGTTTAATTATTCTCTGAAGAAGTGGCCTACAAAGAGTCACGAAACGTCGGAAAATCTAAAGCTCCTACTTTTCTACCTATTGGGATATTACAAATATATTATTTTTTATTAGTAACAATCTACCCAATGCTTAATTTATTTAAATTACCCAGTTAAACCTCGGTAATGAAATCTAACTATAACAATTTATCAATAGACAGACTATATGTAACTAGATACAACTTGATTTAAGTGAGAAGGGAGATGTTAATTCACTTACTATCGAAAACAATATTTCAAGTCAAGTTTTTCACATTGATTCATTGACATCGACTAATCCAATTTTTAATAAATATCAATTAGTATGGGTGAGGAATTGTGGAGATTGTGGGATTTTCATAGTTTAAATCATGAATTGATCTAAACTAGATCACTACATTACTGGATGCAGGCACAGTGGTCTAGAGGTTTAGAGTTCACGTACAAGAACGAAGTATTTAATCCTCGGTCAGGTCGTGGATGTGCATTGCTTAAGAGTCCCATCCTAGGATAAAACGGCCGCCTAGTGCTTCTACGAATTTTTAAATCTTGGTCTAGCTAAGATAAGTTCGTGATTTAAATTCTGAAGTTTTCAACTAGGCGAAATTCATCAGTTAGTATGTAAAATTAAGACATTTATCACAACTAACAATATCTTGATTACTGACCACCCATATATATGAGATCTCTTTCCTAATAAAAACTTAATCATGTTCAAGGAGGATTCGAATTCGCAACATAGCTGATTGAAAGCAAAGTGTAAACGCAATAAAAATTTACAAAATATATTTCGCTGTTGTCATTTAAACTAAGCTGAAAAAAAATAGAAATAGGCTCTTATTAACAATAAATTATTATTTTAAACCGGATTTATTATGTGATTGGTAAAGAGATCACTCCTCTGACAGACATACTGGTTTTAAATGGATGCGAGAGTTAAAACAGAACAAACTGAATGAAAGTTGGATCTATAAACGACAGAGTCAATTTGCTGCAACACATTTACGATCATACACAAAATAGTTCTGCTTTTTTTTATCAAATACATAGTTTTATCAGAAGGGGGGTTGTGGATATTAAAGTAATTTTAATAGTTGAGATCATGAGTCAATTGAAGCTAGACCACCATGGAAAACCTGGAAGCACTGGATAGCTGTTTCCCATTGCTGAAAAGTCCCATGATAGGACAAAACAGCCGTCCAGTGCTTCCAGGTTTCACATAGTCTTATATCCAAAAGCTTAAAATACAACATCTAACAGATTATGACATAAAAATTATGTCAACATAACACAAGATTACACACCACACATATTCTCATTAAATTTATACCAGCATTGAAAACTGAAATTTAGTGTGACATGAAACTGATTACATTTTGAAAGTCATGCTGACTACAATCCCAGATAATAAATAACTTCATCATTTGAATATGAGATAATAATTTAAAACCATTGGGATAACGTCTGTAGTTTTGATTGACCCAGTCAGACAGTCAGTCAGCTACGACGTAGGACCAGGCACATATATGCATCGGTTCAAATTGTCACACCTCATTAGCACAATAAGGTGAACACCAAATTTATAGAAGTAGTTAATTCAATGGTGGTAATATATAAAAGAAAGATTGCATATAAGGACATAGTACAGGAAGAAAGAATTAGTTCGTAGAAAGAAAAATATGAAGCGATTTTAATCTCATAGTTTAAAGGAAGACAGAGAGTGTATACACCTACACCATTATGATCGATTCTGAATCACGTCACACAGTCTTCAACTATTGGTTACGATAGTCACGCGGACCCTAACCAAGTAGTCTGCATCTACCAACATGGCTCAGACTAGACGTTAGTGACTTCAAGGACTGATGCCATATTTTGGTTTGGACGCCCCTAACTTTCTTCCAACCATCCCCAACACTAGTCAGCGTTGCACGTCATTGTAATTGGTGTTCAGTTACACGTAGGACGTGGCTCAAGCACTTCAGTCGATAAAGATTCACAACCTCGTCAAATGATTTACCATCATTGCCTAATACTATGCGTCTAACCTTATTACAAATCATACTGTTACATGGTTGACCTGAATACGTTTACCTATAAGTTAGTGATTTTACCATTGGATAAACTTGTCATTTATTAGATTTGTATCGACTGTTAGTTTAGAAGAGAAAATGGAAACTTAATACTAGAGAACAATTATATTTTATTGGAAAAAACTCGACAGTTTCTTTAGATTACCTGGTATATCAATATCGAACAAGTGTAATTTACGATATAAGCCAACTAGTTCACCATCTGGATTATATGTTGCACAACAGTTATATAACTTGCCATCAGGTCCACGTTCAGGGATAGAACCACCGACAAGCCATATTTTATGAGATCTGTAAATGATTGAACAAGTATTTATTTCAAAACCTATCTGTTATTAAATGTTAAGGACAAACAGTAAACTGTCATTGTATGACTGTGTAATTTACGGTGTCACGTTTTGTAGCCTCCAGCTTACAGACATTTTTGACAACGATATTCAAATGTATGATTAACTTACACCTTTACAACACATACAAATGAACTACGATTTTATGGTTTTTTACAAATAAAATGTTAAGTACTGCAATAATTTCGATCTTACAGAAACACTGTTAATGTACAGAATTATGCAGTCTAAATGGCAAGCACAACAGTGAAAGAACGCACATGCCATTGAAAACCAACCAAAAAAAAAGAAATGAAATAACTTTAACTGAAATCTTCATTGTGGAAGAATGCAATCATAGTTAAACTTACTTAGCAGCAACTGATAGCATTTGGCATGACGGACCGTTTGGAACAGTTTCTGCATAGGGTCCAAAATACTTTGCACCAATAGGGGAGGTAAAGCATTCCGGAAGGCATACAAGGTGAGGTGAATGCTCAGATACAGCTCGACTAATTAATTCAGAAGCACGTTTTATATTGGCAGTCTTATCTGCACCCACGAACATTTGCAATAGTGCCAGTCGTAACATTTTTACACTCTGTTAGAAAGAATATTTTATTTAAAATGCTAGGTAATTGTTTAAATAAATAAAATCTGATCATTTATGGCAGCCAACACATTGCAGTTTTTACGCGAGAATATAGTGATATAAAATTTAAGGGTGGAACATAAACCATACCTTTTAAAATTCATTCACATTTAGTACTAAATGTTACAGTAATACTTTCCGTAAATTAACCCTGAAAATCTAATCCTCCCAAAAATGTCACCATTCGACTTACTAATTGTCTCTTAGTTAAATATTTCACAATCCGTCAATCGGGTTTGAATGCGTAAGTTTTACCTAAAAATTACCGGCTTTTTCTAGATACTCTCAAGTATTTGACTAAATAACTGAGTCATTCCATCACTATATCTACTGCGGTTTAGGTGGCCTGGTTACATGAATACCCCTCATACCTAAAATGTGGTTCAAAGTCAAATACACGAATATTTACTTGGTAAAGGCGATGAAAAATAATTAAAATACTAGCTTGAACAAGCCTGACTCTTATAAAACCTCAACAAGGCGGCTCATAATCTAGCATGTAAGTTTATAATTTTACTTGGTTGTGCATATTTGAAAGATTTTAATCCTACTATTACAACATGAACATTAAGAGACCTTTGATATAATGAATATGCAAAGGCAGGTTTTTGTGAAAACATAATACATATCTCACTAGAAATGACTTTCAAGAAAATATGTATACACAATATTTCTAGTTGTATTCATTAAAATAGTGGCTTCAGTTACTGTGAAAACAAAGAGCAGTCACACATACTGTGGTTTAAAAGCGAGTAGGAAAGCCCAACTAAATGGTCTTACCTCCCGATTTGTTGGCAATAAGTTGCTACGAATTGCACTGCCAAAGTATATAATTATGAACTGAGCAAAGTACTTGGTGTTTTATGTAGAGTTAAACATTATATGGGTAGCAGTCAAAAGCCCATACTACAAAACGTTTAACACAAGGGAAGACTTGGAAACAATTTTCTACCAATCCTGTAGCGCATATATAGAAAGTTTCAATTTAACACAAGATCTTAAAACTTCGGATCTGACATTTAAACCTTCATTGATATCGAAGTAACAGAGGTTAAATAATAAGGGAATTAAGACGTCATACTCAAAGCATTGAGACGGGACGAAGATGTTTTTAAGATTTAAATAATTTCACACTTAATCGAATGAGATTTTTTCAACATCTACTAATTAACATACAGTAAACAGAATAGCATTTTCTCAAGATGGAATAAATCCCTTTTTCGGTATAAGCAAATTTGAGTTCCCATTATCGATAAAAAGAAGCGAGTGTTTGGATTGCATGTTATCGTAAGAGCTTCAGCGAAGGACTTTAGTGACCGTCTATAGAAGTAATTTGCCTCACTAACAGAGAGTAAGCTAAGTGTAGAAAGCAACTGTAGCAGTGATTTCGACTTTTAGAGTCAAGTTACATGATTCTGAGAATCAACTAAGGTTTATGAATAATTTTCACGGCATATAATTACAAGTCAACGCCTTCACACCTTTCTTAGATTTAAGAGGATGTTACCTTATCCCAGGAAATACTTTTTATCGCTACAGTAATCACATAAACTTCCCTGATAACTACAGCGAATCAGTGAGTTATTGATTTAATTTGTACCACAAACAATTTCGTTCATGGAAAATGGATAACATGATACGCACCTACAAGTGTGGTGCCGACGAAATAATTCTTTAAGACAACCTGATAACGCAAACTGACTGAAGAATCTGAACATGGAAAAAGAATAATAACAGCGATGATTCTATAAAAACAGCAGACAAAATGCAGATTTACTTAGACGAGTCCTCGAAATGCCCTGGTAAGATCGAGGGTGATGAGTCAGCTCTCCCTCTAAAAATGCTCGAACATCGCCATGCGTACACAGTCACTACAGATATCAACATAAACACTTCCTTTAGAGTAAGGGCTATATATATATATCTATCTATCGATAGATAGATAAATAAATAGATAGATAGATACCTATATGTACAAAATTATAGCATTCGTTGACTATATAACAAACAAAATGCTGTATAGATTAAACAGTCTCCTCTGTTGTTTCATATAGATAATGTTTGCAATGTATGTATGCAACAATACAACCAACTTCATAATGTTTGTCACATGCGAAGGAACCATTAGTTGCTCTGTATTGCAGATGAAACATGAAAATATTGATGACCACAAATTTTGTGATACAATTACAGTGTTTCAACGACCTACTAATTAACATAGGCTACTTAAAACCAACTACAAGACAAGACGATCCTAAAAGCTCCGAACATCACCTGTTTGAAATTCCGCTCTGCAATACGATATGCAATACGATATGCAATCAAAATTTAGAAAATTAGTGTACATTGAATTACTTCTTCCAGTCAATCCTTTTAACTGAATGAAAAGAATCCGAAACACACTTAATTATCAAGGCAGCTGCTCAATCCTTTTCACCGCAGTAATTTTAGAGAAATACAAACTTTAAACGTAGTTTCAGTGACTTATCAGTGGATTTCTTCTGAAATTGAAATGAGAGGACAATATCCTTCTCAGAGGTAAAGTATGATGACCAAAAATCTCATCCCTAACGGCCAAGCAATTAGGTAGAGAAAACTTATCAGTGGGTCGGGTTGCCTACATCTTCGAAAAGAATTCCAACAATACCTCATTTTCAGTGGTCTAGGAATTTCGACGAAAAGTAGCAAACGATTCATCACAAACAGTAGTATGACAGTCTTTTTCCACGGCTAGATTAATACAAGTGGCACGAGGTCCTTGTGCCAGTACCTCTCATCGGTAGCATTATTTGTGTACAGTTGCGATGAACCGAATCTCTAACAGTGAATGATTAGTACTATCCAAGTTTCCCCAGAAAAGAAAGACGTCTGTCGAACCTTTCGTCTAATATCCAGCTTAAGTCTATATACACATAATAGTATCTACCGTTTGTATTGACACATCAGAAAATAATACTACCGAATATCTGAACTTTGAAACCAAAAGGTCAAACAGTAATGCATCATCGCCCCAGAAACTATGTAGTTATACATTAAATCGTTTACTTAACGGAAAATATTACTTTTCTATTCATTTCAAGGACACTATCATAGAAGAAAGTTAAATCCAATGATCAAAACTAAGATACCATCTAGTTATTCCATCAAATTGTATAACATCTCTCCCATCATCATATGGTTCCGTTTGAAAATCATATCGGATGACCTCAGGAAATAAAAATGAGTGAAATAACATGGGTCATCTCCTGGGTAACGACCTGGGTCGGTATTCTAACAGTAATCTGTTGTGCTAGAAAAATGTACTTATTCAGCAACCGTAGCACTGCCATGATGTGGCTACCTAATCCTTCAGACTACGCGGAATTCAAATTATTGCACGTACCGACTCTTCCAATCAGGACACCCAGCGCCTACTGCTAAAGACTTCTGAAGAATATATTTGGGCTGGGTAGAGAGCGATATATTTTATATGGAATACAGATTACAATGAGTGACCATAGCTGCATATCGAGCCATGTCATACAGATCAAATCCTCTGAGTTTACCATTTTTTCTATGTGTTAAATGTTGAGTGTAATTCTTCAGAGTTATCGTGTTGTTAACTACCATAATTGAATTATATATTGCGACGAAAGTTATATGAGTTACACGAGCGGACTTCGCCACATGACAAACATTCTTCGGTCTCGTTCTCACCACTAGTTTCTGCCTTGCAGTCCCTAAGTTGTTTCTCATGTTTTCGCGAGACCGAGGATCGTCGCTAGTAAAACGCCTGTTCATATGACCTTCAGGTTGAATCGAATTAGGACAACTAACTGATGATCTGGCCCTTCCATCTAAAACGCAACAACAAATGCAGGAAAAAACTATCAGTGTGGCAGCAGCCTCAGCAGCAATAGGTCTCAATATACACAATGGGAAAAGCAGGATTCTCCGATACAACACAGAATGCACCAATCCAATCACAATTGACGGAGAAGATTTGGAAGATGTAAAAACTTTTACGTATTTCAGCAGCATCATTGATGAACAGGGTGGATCTGATGCAGATGTGAAGGCGCGGATCGGCAAAGCAAGAGCAGCGTATTTACAACTGAGGAACATCTGGTACTCAAAGCAACTGTCAACCAACATCAAGGTCAGGATTTTCAATACAAATGTCAAGACAGTTCTACTGTATGAGGCAGAAACCTGGAGAACTACGAAAGACATCATCCAGAAATTACAGGTTTTCATTAATGGTTTTCTTCGCAAAATATTTCGGATACGTTTACCGGACACTATTAGCAATAACCTACTGTTGGGGAGAACAAACCAGATCGCAGTGGAGGACGAAATCAAGAAGAAGCGCTGGAAGTAGACAGGACACACATTGAGGAAAGCACCCAACTGCGTTACAACGCAAGCCCTCACATGGAATCCCCAAGGTCAAAGGAGGAGAGGAATACTAAAGAACACATGGCACCGAGAAATGGAGACAGACATAAGAAGAATGAACAAGATTTGAATAGAACTAGAAAAGAAGGCGCAGGACAGAGTGTGTTGGAGAATGCTGGTTGGTGACCTATGTTTCATTGGGAGTGACAGATGTAAGTAAGTAAGTAACTGATGTAGTAGAATTCTTAATATCCTGAAATTGAGTTTCATGCGAATCCTCATAGTTTATGCATACAAATCTAGCATATTTAAAGTAACACTACAGAATTTGTATAAGCTTTCTTTCCATATTTGGTGTGTCAATCCCTTCAATTATTCCTTCACGCAGCCGGACCTGAAGTTGTCTCCCCAAGTTCCACTCGACTGCTTATTTCTGCAATCCGAGCATAAAATCTCTAGCACTTTGGTTATCCTAAAGAATAATTTCATGGAACTTTGCCCTTTCACAACCTTCAAAGTTTGCATAGTTTACATAATCTAGTACTTGTTATTTGAGTTATACAAGGATGTGAAAGAGATATATCTGAAAATTACAAATCTTCTTCAAAGTTGCAGACATCCTTTCCGATGAATTTTAAAAAAATTGAGTCACAATGTCATTATCCTTAGCATCTTTTTTTATCAGTGCTCAAGATTTCAAACTTCTCCATGTGAACTTCGAAGATTTCACAATTGTAATGTATATTCAATTGTCCAATCACAGGCTCAATCGCGACACCAATATGATAATCAGAAGTAACCAAACTGATTTGATAACTAAGAATTCCCAAAACAGTTCAAAGTAAGGCAGGAGGACTGGAGAGATACAAGTGGACGTATTATATCTGTAGTTCGTAATAAGCACGCAGTCAAGTACAAAGAAGTCACAAGTTGGCAAAAATATCGCAGGAATATTGACTCGTAATCTACTGGAGTATACATATGTTGTTGTTCGAAGTCACAACTTGGTTTCAATATAGTGGTTTTTCCAGAGGTCATGTCGTCTACACGTCCTGCAGTAGTTGACAATCCCATGTTTATGATTGATTATATTTTGTATCGTGATAAGACCACCCACTATTATCATCATGTAGGGAAGACGCATTTCTCCACTAAATTCAGATAATTATCCCAAAGTTCAGATGAAAGTTTGGTTTAGCTCTAGGTCAAAAGCACCGATTCCATACCTGAACAATGATCTAAACCAAAATACAAGGTGTCTGGAATCTGCCCCAATAAGTCCGTAGCTTGTAAAATCTTACCAAAGTTATATACTGTACATTAGGAAATGTCGGATAGATGTAACTAACGAAATCCACTCAGTTCAAGTAGGTTTAAATAAGTCTGCGATATCAAGCCTACATCCGTGGTTATGACTATGCAAATTCGTGGGTGCCATCGAAAAATATTTTTCCTTAAGTTACTCGACAAATCATTTTATTCGACATCAACGACAAAAGACAATATGTGCTGAAACATAATGTACATAGGATTTTGTGATATAAACCATGCTTTAGGGTGTAAAAATTTCATGATATATGCACATATCAAACATGAAAAAGTGTCGCACTAAATATTAGTGCTCTTTTGGAGACAGCAGTTATGGTTTACCGTGATTCATCAAAAACACTCTGTTGGCAGTGTCTAGCATACAGACGAACTACTCTTTTACATACATTGTAAACCCGGATTGTTACGGCCAGACGAACATTAAGGATTAACAAAATATCGCCTAGACTGACAGAAGCTGCCACAACGTTGACTATGAGATGTTTGATCTCGTAACCATCTGCAAAGCTATCCAGATTAGCAATATATTGAACCAACTCTTACGAGTCACCATATAAAGAACGTAAGTACGGGCTCTACTAGTTTTGTTGGATTACGTTCACTTAAAAATCAAAAGTTCATTTTATCCTTTAGAGATTTAACGCGTGTCAGGATTATTACTTGATTGCACCTAGGTTGGAGACTAAAACCGGAATTTAACCAAAGTGTCGCTTCATACGCCAGGTTTTTTTCCCTATATTAGTCTCTTACTTTCACAGATGATTCACTTGATTAATGAAAACACTGCTCTGACGCTTGACATAACAACGCTATTAAGACCACACACTGTTGCCACAGAGATTTCAAATAAGACTACCTTAAAAATACTCAGCAACTTTCAAAATAACAGTACAAAGCTCTCAAATACCTTTTTACACAAACATCATATACTAGCGCGCAAGTTTGTGAAATACATATAGAGTGATCAAAAGTATCAAGACTAATGTCAGTTACACATGCCTGTTACCCCTTGTGGGGGAGAATAGGGCGCCACACCAGGATTCTCTATCAAACTCTACCTTCGGCAAACCTTTCCACTTTTGGTTCCTTTAGGATTTGAATTTCTCCATAATCCAGCCAAACTTTAAAAAAATAAAGTGGGAGAGTCAGTAGCCCTGTCTGACACCGGTCGATACATGTAATGCGTCTGTCAACTGTACTTCGTGCACGACTTGTAGTATAGTCCGCCGTAAGAGTTACGTATGATGTTGAAGATTTTCTCAGGTTCACCATAGTGTCTAATTCTTTAGAAGATTATGAGGTTCTTTACCGATGAACGTCAGAAAATAAACTGAATTTATCGTCGTTAATATTTTTTCTAGTCATGCATCAGATTCCGAACCGATTCATATGGTCTTCGAAGTTGTTCCCACTTGAATTTATATCCAATTGTCCAAGATTTTACTCAAACATGATGCCAATATGCTGATAAGTTTTTGAATTAGTGTACTAACTAGAAATTCACAAAATAGCGCGACTTACAGCAGGAACAACTAGATGAGCAAAGAATAAACGCATTGTATTTACACATCAAGTAAAAAATCATTAGTTCGTACAAATACAACATATCGAAACCTATCTGTCTTCATATTTTAATCAGACTGAGAACCCTGGAGACAAGAATCAATACCACGAGTTGCTATCGCGAATCTTGATCGGATTTTGCATTCGATGGCATCATCCGTTCGGCAACTTGAGATCGCGGCAAGACTATAATTCATGAACGACCTTTAAACACTGCTAAATCGACTTTGCGAAAATCAACTCACAAGAATTGTAGGTTATAGATTAGTGGGTTGTAATACAAAAACACATACCCAACTCAAATAAATTGTAATAAAAGCTTAAAAAGCATACCTTACATATTATTTATTTAGGTTATGGAGCGTAGCAGAGTAGCTTAATTGTGACATGATCACACATAGTCTATAACAGAATTTTGGCGTTACTTGGTTAAAGGATGTTCAGAAATAAAGTTTCATTTCCTCTCTTTGTATTCTCGGTTATTTGTATGAAATGTTAGTAAAGCATACATTTCGTTCAGTGTTATTTTAGGTTAGAATTAAGTAATGTTAAATGTTTGAAGATGCTCGAGATTCTCCAAATCTAGATTTCGTTTCAAATGATGTATATTTGATTTTCTAAAGTATTAGAAACGCAAATTCCCGGATATGTCTTGTATATACTTTGCAGTAGGTATAAAAGCTAACTGACAATAATTTCTCAAACATATTACCTTTCAATTAGACAAAATGAGAATTTTGATCTTGAAAATTGAGCAAAAATATCATAGAAAGGAGGAATACTGATATGGTTTTAAAAATAAGTATCCTATCAGTGATAAGATAAATTGGCAAGAAAAACATAATCAGAACAATCAAAAAGAAATTGTATATTAGTTCAAAGTAAAAAGTGAGCAAGCTGATAAAAAGGGAAGGTGAACGATGACAGAACAGATTTGGTCATTACTTAAGGTGCAAGCAATTTGGAACATAATAATAATACTTCATATAATACACAATGTCAAAGCATTGACATAGAGAATAAGACAAATTGTTGGCGTTTCAAAACATCATTCCTAACTTAACTTCTTTATTTAGATTGTTAATAATAGTTGTGATTATTATTTAATACAGATACATTGAATAAATCCCAATAATAAAATTATCCAGGCAAAATAGATTAATTATAACCCAAACCTTATGAATTATGAGCAGTCTGGTAGAACAACAGAAATAATACATTGTATTTTTGTCCTCTGAAGAAGTAGCTTATACTAGACTACCAAACATCCTATAATGTATTCTTCTACTCAGTCAAAATTAACATTATAACAAATGGTTAATTAATCCGAAATTAACAAGTTAAACTATGGTCACAACACTTTCAATCTTAACAATGATAACTTTGGATAGTAATCAAATAATTGAAAACTATATGATTCATGAGTCAATTGAAGTTAGACCATCATAGAAACCATGGAAGCACTGGGCGGCCGTTTCGTTCTGGTGCGGGACTCTTCAGCAATGTGCATCCACGTTCTTGCCCCATGAGATCCGAACCCAGGATAGTAATCAAATAATTTAAAAAAACACTGATAACCATTGTGGCTCACTTCATTGAAGAAGTATTGATCAAAACAAAAGGTCCTTGATCGATACAGTTACCAATAATCACATTGAAACATGATATAAATCAAAAGTTGCTTATTTAAACCCAACTTTCTTTCCTATTTCTCAGTAAGATCAAATGACCAAATAAGATAATCACAACTGTCACAATTACAGTGAAAATCTTACATCAAAAACTTTGTTCTTCGAGGTGAATAAGTCAATATAAGTACTTATCATTTCATATCAACAACTGTCAATGTTTCCAAAGTGATATTTTAAGTAACATTTTTGGAACTGATAAAAATGCATAAAACACAAGAATTAAGAAAAAATCTAGAGATTATAGTAGAGAATAAACACAGGTATTCATAGTTAATGACAATAAATTCCAACTCTATAAGACTAATTCAACAATGTATAGTATGCACCTAGTGAGCGGAAACATAGGGTCATATAGTGTACATCATGAAAAGATAAAAAATAATAATTGATCAGCAATATTTTGATCAATAACAACATAACCAGTACTCAAAAAATCCAGATCAAAACTTCTTCCATATTTACTTCATTATATTCATTGATAACCAATCTAAATGTTGCATATTACTTATTTCTGATTGGTGTATTCATTGCCTGCCTTCATGACAGACAGTATGTTTTATAAAGTTGTATCTAATGTAAAATGAGTTCATCTATTTAGTATCAAATTAAGAAAGAGGTAATGCTCATATACAGAATAACCAAATGAATTATTAGAAATAATTCATATCTAAAATTTATATAAATGTAACGATTTAAATTTGTGCGAACATTCCTGGTAGTTCAATTAAGAATGATTGCTCTAGTTGTCAGAAAACTCCGCCTGGAGTCTCTCCGGGGGCTACTGCCGTTCCAAAGCCTGGGTAAAGGAGCAGGGTTGGGTATGAGGTTAGCGACCCCATCCCGTAGAAAACTAACTCGCTAAAAAACGCTGGTCGTCAGAAGGAGCATTTGCTTTGTGACTTCTAAAGGAATTCGGCTAGCATTATGAGATGTCATAACTATTCTAAATGAAAATCATCTAAGTCCTAGGGCAGAATTTAAATGGTTTGAATTATTTTTTTGGTTAGCTTTTTTTTAGTGATTTAGCTTTCTACATGATTAGGTGGCTAATTCCATGCCCAACCCTCCTCCTTTCCTCCGGCTTGATACCGGCAGTAGCACAAGAGGGGCTCCATGCGGAGAAAGAAATTAGGAAGTGCTGGAAGTGGATAGGACACATATTGAGGAAAGCACTCAGCTGTGTCACAAAGTAAGCCCACATTTCGAATTCTCAAGGTTGAAGGAGGAGAGGATAATAAATGTATTGTATTATAAACTAAATAGAGTTGTAAACGTGAATGATGCCAGTTAATAATTATGTCAACTAGTGTTATACAAATCCAATCAATGTTTACCTTAACTTGCAATCGTGAATTACGGAATATTGAATTAAGGGAATGCTATAACACTGTCAGATTAAGATATCAATAAACCAAGTGATTCACTTTAAACCGAGTTAACGGAAGAAATTCTGGGTTACCTAATTGAAATCTCAAAGATACTACAAATGTAAATTAATCATTACTTTAACTACATCAAATGAAGATTAATGTTAGATCTGTTTACGTTGTTGTAGCTGTTTATTGACACTATCAGCAACAACCTATTGTGGGAGAGAACAAACCAGATCCCAGCGGAGGAAAATATCAGGAAGCGCTGGAAGTGGTTAGGACACACATTGAGGAAAGGACACAACTGTGTCACAAGGCAAGCCCCCATTTCGAATCCTCAAGGCCAAAGGACACATTACGACGAGAAATGGAGAATGACATGAGAAGAATCAACAACAATTGGTAAGAACTAGGAAGAAAGACCCAGGACAGAGTGGGATGGAGAAAACTGGTCGGCGGCCTATGCTCCATTGTGAGTAACAAGCATAAATAAGTAACAATTTAAATTTAATTCAAATTAACATTGATTATATAGAATAAATTAAAACAAATAGACAAAAGCTAAAACAAACAAGAAACAATTTTGGTTTTTGCATAAACAAAATAAAACTTCAAAACAACAGAAGACAAAAAACGATTTGAACAAAAACACTTATATTATCCATCTTTATACCTACTGAATGTCAGGATTTGATAAACCAGATCGTTTAGAAGCAATAAATTTTGCTGTAATATTAGTCGATATTCGTATATCAGATACAAAAGATTCTTGTCTCATTGTAATTAAATAATTGAGTAGATTTGACCATGTTTTAGCTTCATTATATAATTTATCATTTATTTTCATTTCATAAATTTGATCATAATTTATATGATGAATAATGCCCAAAATGATTTCAAAGTAATCAATCATAGGGAAGAGGATCAAATCAGCCAAACTCAATTGATCTCCTGGATATGAATAAGAAATATTTGTTTTTAAAAAAAAGATTATCAAATATTAGAACTGATCAGATGGTTGGAAGAAAGTTAGGGGAGGCCAAACCAAAATGTGGCATCAGTGCTTGAAGTCACTAACTTCTAGTCTGAGCCATGTTGGTAGATGCAGACTACTTGGTTGGGGGCCGCGTGACTATCGTAACCAATGGTTGGAGACTGTGGGTGACATGACGCAGAATCGATCACAATGGCGTCGGTATATACACTCTTTGTTTTCCCTTAAACTAAGAGATTAAAATCGCTTCATATCTTTCTTTCTACGAACCAATTTTTTCTTCTTGTACTATATCTTTATATGCAATCTTTCTCTTACATATTACTACCTTTGACCTAATCACTGCTATGAATCCGGTGTTCATCTTGTTGTGCTGATGCGGTATGGCAACCTGGACCGATGCACATATGTGCCTGGTCCGACGTTGTAGCTGACTGACTGACTGATTAGAACTGATCTACATATTACATACAGGGAAATAGGCATTTTTTTAACGATCACTGAAATTTACATCACTATGTTTAAGTTTAATAAATTCAAACATGACGAATCACATTCCGATAGCATCCACATCCTGCATTTATATCCCGATGGAAGAAATGAAGGAATAGTCAGTTTATAACACAGTACTATGATATGAAAGAAAATTATGTAAGATTGGCATCTGTCAGTCCATCACGATACTCTTGTTGAGGTCTTAGAGATTCTGTAACTTACTGCCTTAAGAACATTATCAAACATAGTTCAAAGTGAAATTGATAAACAATGCTATATTGTAAGTTTCATTTGGATTGTTTGTAAAAATTTGAGAAACTCCATGAAATGACTAACTGAAAGAATTCTCTTTGTTGCATCTGTTAATTAAACTGCCATTTCTATTAAACTATTCTTGTCTACTTATTAATTATTTAATGGCACTTCTTATAACGTTAAACAAACTCAAATTAAAGAGTCATTGATCTAATAAAAACTATTTCATCTAAACAAAAAAAATGTGATATTTTTTATGACAATAAAGAATACAAATGGCTTATAGCAAGTATATGTTTATGAGTATAATTCAGAATGTAGAAAATACTACTGAATTTTCAAACAAACAAACAAAAAAAATAACTCCAGTTACCAAGTTCATGTTTACTCTTTTAGATAAACATTTTAAGTGTGTCAGTTAGAGATCCCCCGACCGTTGTTGCTACCTTGACGTGGTGGTTGGGCTTGCCTATCATGATGAAGCAACCGAACTATACTGGCTGGAATAACCGTTCCTCAAGGTACTACCATGTCAGACAGGTCGGTTGAAGAGCAGTAAGAATTAAAGCAACAAACCCAAGGTCCGAAGGCGAAGTCGTACTGCTGACCGTACAGAGGTGTGACAGCAGTAAGGTGTTTCCTTCAGACAACCAGCATGACAGCGATGCTGCCTTCCCACAAGGAGGGGTGGGGTTAGAAAAGGTCGACCCTAAAAATGCACACCTCGCCTTATCCCACGGATATCCGTCTCCGGCGGTAAGGTCTCAATAAGTACGGAGCTAACACAAAAATTACCCATAACAAGGTCGTGTGTGACCGACCTCAAGCAGTTGTCCCTTGGGCACTGCGGTCACACTCTCGGGTCACTAAGACCACCTTTAATCCAAATTCCTTTTCAGGTACCTCCAGAACAACCCCTCCACGGTGTGGGCAACCGGGAAGTGATAACCGCCCTCATACCTCTAACAGCACTCAAGACCACTGTATTTATAATCAACCTTCCTCCTTAATTCCTATTATTCCTCCTACATCGACTTTCAACTTTAAATTTCCTCTCTCGGCTTCCACCTCAAGTGTCATCATAGCCAACGATTCTAGTGCGCAAAATACTGTCCCAGGTCTACTGAAACCTCGCTCCAAACTACACATTGGAGCCTTCAACGTACGAGTTAGAGATGCTACAACATTGTTTCTTAAATTGAATTTGATCAAATGAAGTTTAAACTGGTAACACTAAAACTTAGAAACTCATTGTTTAAGTCAATAAAACAATGTTTTGCATCCCATTAGACATTAGTGAACACCTATCTTAATAAGCAGAAAACTTTCATGACAAATCAATATCAGTAAGAGAATTGGGAATTGCTGAATAGGCTTTATCTCTTCCAAAGCATGCATGGAAGTGAACTCAAGGGATATAATAGTTAATGTACTGTCTAACCACTAAATAGGAAATGAATCCTTGCAGTATACAACTCCAGTTAATATGCGACATAGTATAACGATCACATTCAATGTCATAGGCATCTTTCGTCATTGTTGACAAAGTTGGTTACATAGATTACAAATTTTGCACTAATATTATTCATTATTTAAACACATAAACATTAATATCAGACGGGGCTTTGTGGAGATTGTAGTAATTTCAACAGTTGAGATCATGAGTCAATTGAAGCTAGATAACCATGGAAAACATGGAAGCAGAGGACGGCAGTTTCCTCCTATTGTGGAACTTTTCAACAGTGCGCATCCACGATCCCACCTCGTGGGATTCGAACACAGGACTTATCAGTCTCGCGCCAGTCGCTTAACCACTAGACCACTGAGCCGGTATCCAACGGTGTTAATGTCTAACTTCAAATAATCCACGAAATTGAGCGACACATTCACCATTGTCATCAGTGAGTTACTATCTCACAACTGACCCGGTTGAACATAAACATTAGTATCAGGAGGCACCAAATAGATATACCTCACACAAATTATTTGATTTGTGTGAGCGCTAGAATACTTCCCGGGTGCCCAGACCGAAGCAGGTGGTTTTCTTAGGGTGCCACACCCAAGGCCTTTGGCCTAATGGTCTAATCCACAAGGCAGTGGAGCAACGTAAGGAGGTGCAGTCCCATGGTGGCCAGTGATCAACAACTGACTCATACGCCATTTTCCCCCTGGAATCATGGGGCGCGTGTGCACCACTGGTTTACGATCACGGGTTTTCCAACTCCCCTAGATGGATCCACCTTCACCACCAACCCAGTTAAAGCACCGGACATTTGCTTTTCGTCCTCTCAATTTTGTAAACAACACGCCCGTTGTGAGAAGGCAGTGAGTAGGACTTCCCTGACAGTGGCTGTATACGCGTGGCCATGTGAGGGCATTTGAAGAGAGGAAGAGCTGACTCTCCCCAACCTCGGCCGTACCAAACCATTTGGGGGTGAAGCTTGTGATGGAGGTGGGATTCTAACGCACACTCTTTAGGACTGGTGCTTAAAACCATCGCCTTAGATCGCTTGGCGATTCCACTTATACAAAGTTTGCACTACAGTTGATATATGAACGGTGATATTAACGATAACTCTTCACAACACTTCAACACAGAGTATTTCTTTCGTGAATTCCATTACCTCTTAAAAAGACTGGAAAATACCAAAAATGTTTACTTCATATTCGAAATCATTCAATTGTAAACCGATTGCACTTAAAGATTATTGAAAAATTCATTAAATGAATGGAAAAATTAACATTGAGCTAATTAATACAAATAAAAGTGCACTAATAGTAAATTGAACAATAATCGCCTTAAATCAATATTGTCTGACTTTACAATTGAGTTTTTCGCATTACATAGTATTTGGGGATTTTACATTCCCCTGATTAATGTTTCCTGGTGTAAATCATTGCTGCGTACTGATTTACTATCTCATTGATTGTTTGCGAAAATTCACTGAATAGTAATTTTTGGGATTAAATCTACTAAAATTCGTATTGTATAATCCTCTTTCTAAGACTTACTTATCCCCACGTTATATAACCATAAGTAAAGAAGACATTATTCATTATGGGGTTGTGAAGATTAATGAATTTTATTCAGATCATGAACTGGTCCAAGATATAAAGCCATTGAAAACGTGAAAGCAAGGAACACCAGTCTTGTCCCCACTAGTGAGTATTCACAACCCCACTGGGGAAAGAACCTTTCAGTATCACATAAGAACACTTAACCTCTAAACCACTGACCCTAGATACAAATGGTGTACAAGTCTAACTTCAAGAAACCCAAAACATTGTGTAACCATCTTTTATTGTCTTCGATCGATACCTTTCTCACACCCAGCACAATTCGATCCTTGATGGTGGGGTCGTGAATGGACACTAAAGAGAAGTCACATACCAAGATGAGAGATAATTTTGCCTTCAAATTCCTGAATGATACTGTCTAATGTGAATATTATATCGAGAATAAAAAGAAAAGAGGAGTAAATAAGAAAAAAAAAGAATCACTCCACCAACTAACCGGCAAAATATTTACTATTGATTGAATTATCCAATTCAGAACAAGCTTCACGGAATTTCACCACATCCAATTCACTAACGGTCACTCCATATAATATAGAATATCCAGGACTGAAAAACTGAAATAGTTTAACAGGAAAAAACGAGCCATTATTGCCAAGATAAAAAGCTGAAATCATGAATTTAATACAGTTTGATTGAGACACAATGGTAACACGAAGATAATTAAGTAACTGATGTTACATACTGATAAGTGGTCGAAGGTTTTTTGACAAGAAACCCTGAACTTAGATTTAGTGCAATCTTTCATTCGTTAGCAAAAAAAGCCTGCAATCTTGGAAGAACTGTCGCTTCCTGTGTGATTAAAAAGTTACCCAATCCCAAAGTTTCTTTCTGGTTATATTTTTGCTAACTGTGCTGTCTCATCCATTATTAATATTATTTCACTCTCATACACAAATTTCTCTTCATTGTTGGTTTTTTTTATTGTATTCACCCTCTATTCTCTTTCTCTTCACAACCTCATTGTTACTGTGTGATGCATATGTATTGGGCGCCCCCCTAGTATCAATGAAATTGAACTGGATAGGAGTCCGTTATATGATAATACTAGAAGATAATAAAAATACTCAAGTGATATTGTAAAAGCCACCAGAATATCAAGTAAATCAAAAGTTGATCATTAAATACTCCATAGTTTAATATCACTGGTTGATGTCAGAAACAAAACCTACTGAGTATCAAAGAGTACTAGACAGTCCACTAATCAAAAACTTCAATACAGATTGTAGCAATTTAAGAAAGAAGCGAGCACTGATTCAATACAACCGAGAGTAAGGAAATCATCGTAAAATACCAATTAATAAGTGTATTGTATTATAAACTAAATAGAGTTGTAAACGTGAATGATGCCAGTTAATAATTATGTCAACTAGTGTTATACAAATCCAATCAATGTTTACCTCAACTTACAATCGTGAATTACGGAATATTGAATTAAGGGAATGCTATAACCCTGTCAGATTAACATATCAATTAACGAAGTGATTCACTTTAAATCGAGTTAACCGAAGAAATTCTGCGTTACCTAATTGAACTCTAAAAGATACTACAAATGTAAATTAATCATTACTTTAACTGCATCAAATGAAGATTAATGTTAGATCTGTTTACGTTTTTGTAGCTGTTTATTGACACTATCAGCAACAACCTACTGTGGGAGAGAACAAACCAGGTCCCAGAGGAGGAAAATATCAGGAAGAAGCGCTGGAAGTGGATAGGACACACATTGAGGAAAGCATTCAGTTGTGTCACAAGACAAGCTCCTATTTGGAATCCTCAATGCTAAAGGACGAGAAGATGACCAAAGGACACATTACGACGAGAAATGGAGAATGACATGAGAAGAATGAACAAGAATTGGATAGAACTAGGAAGGAAAGCCCAGGACAGAGTGGGTTGGAGAATGCTAGTCAGCGGCCTATGCTCCACTGAGAGTAACAGGCGTAAATAAGTAAGTAACTGTTTATTACCAGATACTATACAATTTATTATGATAAAACATAAGATATATATATTTATATAAATCCGCCTGGAGCCTCGCTGGAGCTACTACTGGTCCCAAGCCCGGACAAAGGAGGGTTGGGCATGAGGTTAGCGACCCTATCCCGTAGAAAGCTAACTCGCTAAAAAAACGCTAGCCAGTAATATATACGAATAACAAACCTTTTTAGCTAATTCAGCCGCATTTTGAAATTTCTCTACACCACATATGCTCATCAATGAAGATTTTTCTCCATGTAATTCATCCACAAATCGCATAATTAAATCAGATTCAAGAAGTTTATCACCTTGATTTATAAGTAGTGGAACTTTACCCAACGGCGAATATTTCATTAACCAATCTGGTTTATCATTAAGTGAGACTTGAATTAAATCATAGCTAAGTAAATAATAAACATATGAAATGAAGTGGGAAAATATGTAACTATATAGGAGTGAATAACAAAAATAAAAACGTTTCTCCACATGTGGAAAAATTCAAACACTTAACTTCTATCGGAATTTTGCGTTGATGATGTCGTTTAGAAGAACGATGAAAGCTCCACGACCAAACCATATAGCTCAAAGAACAAAACTCCATTAAAATCATCCACCTGAGCTATAAATCTTCTCCACCACTCAGAATATTTTTTTCTAGTTAGCATTTTTTAGCGAGTTAGTTTTTACGGGATAGGGTTGCTAACCCCATGCCCAAACCTCCTCCCTTTATCCAGGCTTCGGACTGGCAGCAGCCCCAGAGGGGGTCCAGGTGGTGTTCATGTAAAATATTACTATAGATAAATGATAGTCAATTGTTTTAGTCGACATTATAATCTCCAAGATTACATAATATTCAACTCAAAATAACAAAAAACATATTGCAGTCAAATTATAAGTCCGAAGATTTAATGGACAAGATTGAGGGATCTATACAAGTAACATGGAAACTAGTGAAGGCTAATCATTCCGTAGTTCTAATAATAACAACAACTCCGCCTGTAGCTCTTCTACAGTTACTACCAGTCCCAAGGAGGAGGGTTGAGCGTGGCGTTAGGGACCCCATCCTGTAGAAGACTAATTCGCCAAAAAACGCTAGCGAGAAAAATTAAAAAGTAATAATAACAACAACAAAACATTGTCAAATAACATATATCACGAAATTCCATTTTCATAGTTATGCAACATTTCTACATTGTGAGAATAGAACTTATTCCATGTGTCTGTCAAAGCATCAAATTAATCATTGATTTCTGATCGAAAAATAGATTACATTTTTTGTAGGTGACATTCGTCACAGATTAATCTCTATTGAACTATCATTGAGAAGGAGGAAGCACTGGAAAGCTGTTTCGTCCTTTATTCTGAAATATTTTTTTATATTTCTAAGTTAAGGTACTAATTAAGATGTGTATGAAACGTGGAAATTTAGATACAATGCTAACCACAATAACTGATTATGTAACTATAAGCAAAGTTGGATAGTGCCTAGCAGTGGAATCCAGGACGTGCGTTTCGTCCTATTTATTTACATATGCCAATGATTACATATTTTTCAGTATATCCTTGGAATCACCCATTCAGGATGCGAGTCCCATGCCATCTTTTTCAAAGATACATGCGAAACTTGGAGACTTGAAATAGTGATTATCAAGTAAACTTTTTTTGGCTGATCCTGATCAAATTCTCCAGAAATATTTACTTTTTTAGTAATACCTTAACTGTTTGTATGCACATTTATGCTACACAGAGATCCTATTGACGTCTGCATAAAGAGACGCATTTGGGTCAGTTATTTAACTATTTATCTCTACTAATATCGTGAACCACCCAAAGAAAAATACATAGCGTTTAATGGAGAAAACTTAGTATAGTGTCCACTTACCTTAGAAAGCTAATTACTATAATTATTAATACTACTAATATAGAACATTGTTACAGGCATTTACAGTTATGCTTTGAAATTTCAAACTTATTTCAATGATCCAATGTAAATTAAAGATTGAACGGTATTAAAATACCTATACATTCACTTGGAAGGCATATAGTTAACTCAATTTTTTATGACAATAATAAAATCAACATTAATCACCGGTGATTATTGATATAAGAGAATGAAAATAAGCATTTTAAGGTAATTTCTTGTTGAACTTTATGGCCCCCAAATACCCTGGTATGGCCAAGAGTGGGGAGAGTCAGATCTTTTCGAAATGATCTCACATGGCCACGAGTATACTACCACTATCAGGGAAGTCCTATCCAAGTATTAAGTAGTCATGTAATCATAAATGACTACATTTAAGTCTTAAAAACCATATTGAGAAATCAACAGGTTCGTTAACATGTTGATACCCAATGTGCTTATGAAGTATTAAACTCTCCAATATCATTAAGTTTACATGTAGAATCTTTCGGATATGAGATTTCCCCCTACGAAGTCTAGTCAAACATAGTAACTTATATTAAAGTGTTTTTGTTAAAGTAGAAATAATCTCTCAATAACTAAACATTCTTTGTACTAGTCAAGAATAGAAAATAAATCTTCAAACTTACTCAATTTTATGGAAACTTAAGGTCAATTTAACACGTACACAGAATGGACAAAAACGAAAGGCAAATAACGTATATCTAGTTGGATCAATAAACGGTTCTGGATCACCTAAAATAATTATCATCAAGAAAATCAATACTTTTTTTTAAAAAAAACAAACAATAAATCCTGTATGTCAATTACCTTTATTCTTAATTATTACATCATGGAAAATACTGATAAGATTTATCATTCGTAATGATAGAGTCAACCTTAAACAATATTATAATGATTTTTGACCTTATAATAGAGAATAGTCAACCAACATATTCTTTCTTGTCAAACCTTAATGATTCATAAAATATTTGATTAAAAGTACTAGTAGATGTTAGAAAACCAAACATTTATCAAAGAAATACAAATGTTATTTCAACAGTTGAGATCATGAGTCAATTGAAGCCAGATCACCAGGGAAAACATGGAAGCAGAGGACGGCAGTTTCGTTCTATTGTGGGACTCCTCAGAAGTGCGCATCCACGACCCCGCCTCGTGGGATTCGAACACAGGACCTATCAGGCTCGCGCTAGGCGCTTAACCAACTAGACCGCTGAGCCGGTATCTAACGGTGTTAATATCTAACTTCAATTAATCCACGAAATTGAGCGACACATCCACCATTGTCATCAGTGAGTTCCTATCTCACAAGTGACCCGGTTGAACTCCACTGGTCACTACTTCTCACTAGAACTCCAGGCTATATCTCTTGAAGCCAGTCACTAGTGAGCATATGTTGATTAGTATCAGAATGTAAATGGAATAGCATTTAAAAACCACATCACTAGGTTATTTAAAATTGTTTTTTTGTGAGAAAATACTTAAATTTCTTGGTGAATGGAGGATGAAATAGACTTTCAAGTATTTTTGATGTTATTATTTAGTTGAATTTTTTCTGTGAGCATCATTTATTATATGATTGCTTTTCGAATAAGTCCTTAAAATGGAAAAACATTTTTATCTTACATTTCAGTGGCTAGTGATGATATGAACATTTGTAACTCATTAATGAATTCCTGTTATATGGGACTAAGTAAGATCATCTTCACAGGTCAACATTAGTAGAATACCACTGAAAACTATGAAGCACTGGAAAGATATTTCATACCACAATAGGGATTCTCGGAATTGTAAAACAACCTCTCTAAAACTTCAGCCCAATCCATGAACACCACCTGCAGGTTGAACAAACAAGTTCGTTTGTCACTTTCCTGGTTGATTTCACCAGGCTGAGAATGATTACCAGTAAAGGGACAATGGGAAGCTAACAGATAGGTTCGAAGTAAAATATACAGTGCCATGAAGTTGCACAGCTACTAAACTTTAATATAACCAGTGAAAAGAACCGAAAATAGTCACATGTGTAATATATATATAACTAAATGTGCAGCACTAGTCGAAATAAAAAGTTAATCAACAAATGTGAGAAATGGTAATGAAAAAAAAAAACAGAACCTACCATTTTTAAGATGCATCATTAATGTATGTTTTGAAAATACTTTGAAGAATGATAATGAGGCGATGCGTTAAAAACGACAATGATATGTGAACACACTGAAATACAATGTAATACAACATAATAGCCAACATTAGACATAAACAGCATTTCTAGGTAAAAATCAAATGATCACGAAATGGTTGTCTGAATAAGGGAAATGATTTACTTTATGTAATTATCATAAATACAAACAAATATCAAAAAGGAAGTAACCCCAGAGAAGAGTAAACTGTGAATTTCCGAAAGATCGACTACCATGGTAGCCAAAAATTGGCCTGATCACTTGGAGTTTATTCCGAATCCTTAAACAAAGAACCAAATATTTGAGCACACGAATGATCATTTATTTTTTATTTATTTTAACACATAGATATTGGTACAAGGAGGCACCAAATACATATGCGCCACACTAATCTCATTTGATATGTGTGAAGGCTGGGATACTGCACGGGTACCCAAACAGGAACACGTGGTTTTCTTAGGGAGTCACACTCGGGACCTTTGACCTAGAGGTCTGATCCACAAGGCAGTGGAGCATCATAAGGAGATGCAGTCCCATGGTAGCCGGTGACCAACGATTGGCTCATACGTCATTTGTCCCCTCAGGATACTGGTGCCCATGTGCACCATTGGTTTGGAATCAGGGTTTTCCAACTCTCCGTGTCCACCAACATGGTTAAAGAGCCAGACATTCGCTTTTCGTCTTCTCAATTTCATAAAAGACAGTAACGCCACGAGAAGGCAGTGATTAGGACTTCCTTAAAAGAGGCTATATACGCGTGGCCATGTGAGAGCATTTGGAGAGGCAGAGTGGACTCTCCTCGAGGTCCCAATATTGAGGAAGCCGCCATAGCAAACCGGAATCTTATTGGACTTTGGGGAAGTGCGCCTGTATTTATTAAGAAAACCCCAAAAACTTTCAAAATTTTGGGAGCTTGGGTCCCCACTCTCGGCCATACCAGGTCATTTGAGGGCCTCACTATTGTTCTAAGATAGAAAAATCAACAAGCTCTAAGTTCCGCTAGTTATGAACAACGTAATACTAACTAGAGTTTAAAAACATATCAAGAGATAAAACCTGAAGTCGGAAATGAGACATATACATATACGTTTTCATAATATCATCAACGCCACCTTGCTAAAGCCACAGTTTTGAAACGAAAATTTCTGGTTTCGATGGCATTTACCACGGTCGCTATAACGTAAAGACAATAGTATATTTCTACTAGTTCTGCTTGACAGGACCAACCTATTTGCAAACCCCTCCAAAAACCAAAGTTCTATAAGTTCTCACGGTGATTCTCAAGGTTATTTGACACTCAATGAATTCACTAAACAATGTTTCAGTGTCAAGTTAATGTACACCGAATGACTTTTCTCAGCTCTCTCATTGCCATCACGCTGACATTATGGACTGAAAAATTACACTTTCACACTTCAACTTATAATTACAGGAATAGCTTATTTGCATTTTCTTGCTGATAGTTATCGACTGATTTCAAGTGCATTATGTGTGTTTACAGAGTCGTAAACTCCTTTTTATGTCAGTTTTTCAGTTGACAGCCGCAAGCTTGTATTTCAGTTTGCATAATACTCTAGTGACCGCCGTACCCCTAGTCGAGACATTAACCGATACTAATAAAATGATAGCGGTAATTAAATCCCTAAAATCACTAATTCATCGACATTCAGTGCTGATTGCATTAGTTTTAATGGATTCACCGCACCAGATCACGAGTGGGCACACTGTTCGCTACTTCTCCAGTAAACCGCTAAACAGCTTAGATAAGTCAATTCTTGATACATCGATAGCCTTTCAAATACATCTTCGAACCTCTTTGCTTCTGAATTCCGATTCAACTGGGTCGATACGTTACAATAACAGGTGTCACTGGTTGAGGTGTTGTCAAGCTCCAAGAACTTGCGGCATTTTTGCACATCTAGATAATTCGAGTTGTCCAATCGAATATTCTAGTCACTCATTTGTGCTAACCCTAGTGAATCCAAAAGTTATTTAAATGTTCAATATCTTTGCCATGAGCTTACAAAATTCGATTGAGTTCTTTGTAACTAAAGCAAGAACAAATATTGGTGCAGAATAGTATGAATTCATATTATTTCGAGGTTTCTCGTCAGCGGCTTACAAACCAAAAATGTGATAGAATCTTTACATTGAGATAGAGTGAGAACAATTGACATAGATGAGTGTAAATAACTGGGTTACAATAACAACTATATATATATATGCTAGAACAGCTCAGAGGTCAAAAGGAATTAATTCGGGTTGGGTGGTTATAGTATTCTAATTATAGTATGAATTAGGAATCCCAGGATTAACGCAATTGAATTAAGAAGACACAGGCACAACGAATGTACTGTATTTAGAATTCGAAATCGAGCATTCAACAAGTACAAAAGAATCATTAGTTAATTCAAACACCACATCCGCCACAGCTTAAATAGAAGTATAAGTGTTTGTAATCGGTTGTACGTCTTCTTGTTAAGTTCATCCTGAGTCTGTCCGACATTGTATAAGATAAAAACTTTGTAGTATCTAGAAAGTGCTCATTAGTATTGGAATTAACAAACGAAATCGGAACAGACTCACCTGGAATTGTATACAACCAGCATGTCGGTTTTGTAATGAAATCATTAATATCTAGAATTCGAACCATAGATTTTTCAACACTATCCCCCCCCACGAAATAATGTTGGATCTTTATACTCCCAAGTTATGAATAATGTGGCTTCATTTAAAACATATATCTCACATTGTTTAGAGTAAACATTAGAACTGTTTTTGTGATAAGAGTAAACAGCAGTTGATATGAAATCATCCGAAATATAATAAAACTCGAGGTCACTTAGTACTCGTGCTTCGCATTGGGCAGGTTTTTCACGAAGATCAAATACATTATGAGGATAGGTAATATATGATATGACATCAGGATTTGATTCTTCTGAAATATTCTCATGAAATTCATCAGGACTGTCGTTGCAGAGCGTAGGATCGTTAGAGAAATCAGCATCTATCCAAACCACATCAGTTTTTCGATCATGATTAGGTTCATTTAACATATTTTCCTCAGAATTGCAAGTAATTTCATTAGAAATATGTGAATCATTAGGAAAAGTCATACTTGGTACAATAGCATGGGAATTCTGATAAATCGGTTGATTAGGAAATGTTGTCTCACAAGAATTCTGGATTTCATTTAACTCTGAACTGCCATATGACTCTGCACTGTCTTTTGAAATCGTTGATAAAGATAAATGATCATCATGAATACTCGACTCAGTAGAATCAGAATTACAAGACTTAATATTAATTGCAGTAAGATGAACATTAGCATTACAAACTGACTGAACTTGTCCAATATCACGACATTTGAAGCATTTAGAATTATGAAATTTACATGAATTAGAAGAGTGGAACTTGCAACAGGAAAAACACTGACCAAACTTGTCCCCATCCTCGTGAACTCCATCCAAATTCAATGAATTGTCTGCATAACCTTGAGTATGCACTAGGTTGAGATGACGTAGTAATGTAGTGGACTTTTTTATATCCTCATGAATCATTTTACGAAATCTTCCTCCTTTACGACATTTGAAATTTGTATACTGAGCATAGTCTAGCAGTAGATCCTTGAGAGCTGTATAAGAAAGCGAAATGGGTTTTTCCGGCATAGCCAGAGTTCTTAATAAGCTGTATGCTTCTTTTCCAATGAATGTGAGGAAGTGTGCCACAATATTAACATCCTCATCATCTTCCTTGGTCATAGCCCAGATTTCGAACCTTTCAAAGTAATCTTCAAAAGCTTCTGAAGTTGAATGAATATCTAACTTTTCCGTTGCAGGCTCCATCGCGACGCCAATATAGTATTCTAATTATAGTATGAATTAGGAATCCCAGGATTAACGCAATTGAATTAAGAAGACACAGGCACAACGAATGTACTGTATTTAGAATTCGAAATCGAGCATTCAACAAGTACAAAAGAATCATTAGTTAATTCAAACACCACAGTGGTGTAATAATGGAATTAAGTATTCATAAGATAGGTTACGTAATGATAATTAAATAGAATTTGGAAAGTTAAGATAATTAAGAGGATCAGGTGGTGGGAATGTGTGAATAATAATGTGGTTTAAGAATTATGTAATATGGGAGGAGTATAAATATTTTAGAATAAATAAAAAATAAAAAAAAGGTTACCAGGGTAGTGATAAGTTAATTAAAGTCTCTTTTTGAATGCATAAGTCAGGTTTAAGATTTTTGGTCATAATGGCTTCAGCAAAACGGGGTGTGGTCGTACTTTTTTGTCTATTGATAATTTTGAAAACATGCGGAATATCGATGGTGTGCCCGGTGTCAAGTAGATGTCGAGCTATTGAGCTGTTGAAAGCCTTAGTCCCTCGCAGCCTCAAGTTTTTGGGAACATGCTCAGAAATGCGGACATTCGCTCTTCTTTCAGTTCTTCCAATGTATGTGCTTTGACACAAACATGTAAACTGGTAGATGCAGTTGAAACTACTAAGAAAAGAGGGCTTATCGATTTTGGTTTGTTGAAGTGAGCAGTTCGTTTGCAATACTGTCATAAGTTTTGCTGCTGGGTAGGTCACTTTCAACGCAGAGTTTATTCTGTGAATAATTATTCCAGCAATTTCATCACCTCTGAAACGTAAGTGTAAGAAGCAGGTTTTCTTTTCTACTCTATCGTATTCTGTATGAGGATTGCTTTTTGCATATTTCTGGATAAATTTCAATGGGTATTTATTATCAATTTGAACATTAGTAATCAGATTAATTTCATTATCAAGGTGTTCTTTTGAACAGATTTTTTGAGCGCGGTCAAAAAGTGTTCGTACAATACCCTTTCTTTGTGTACTCTTGTTGTCGTTTCGGTACCAGACCTAAAGCGCGTCATTTACATCCTCTCACTTTCTGACGTTAACAGATATCAAACGCGGATATTTAA